AAATCCAAACAGACCTGCGCCTGGTTTGTCTTTGGGAAACCCGAGGGCTTGGCGGCGGGGCGCCGTGCTGGGGAAGGGGGCTCTGGGGACCGGTGGCTGCACACAAGGCCACCAGGCTCCTGCTAATTATGGTGGCTGCCAGACAGGGCTGGGCTGGGCTCCCAAGCAGGTGGCCTCCCTAATGGGGGTCAGCAGGGAAATGGGGTGAGCCCAGGATGAGAAGAGTCTGATGGGGGGGGAGATTGGGGCAGGAGAGGGGAGCAGGCCAACCTGCTTGCTCGCTCTCTCTCTGGGCCAGTGCTAGGACTTGAACTCAGGGCCTAGGCATTGTTCCTGAGCTTGTGTGTCAGTGTGGGGCTTGAACTCAGGACCTGGGCACTGTCCCTCAGCTCTTTTGCTCAAGGCGAGCGCTCTAGCATGTTGCGTCACAACACTACCAGTTTTTAGTTTTTGTCAGTCGTGGGGCCGGAACTCTGGGCCTGGGCGCTGTCCCTCAGCTCTTCAGCTCAAGGCTGGTGCTCTACCACTTGAGCCACAGTGCCACTTCTGGCTTGATGCTGGTTCATTAAAGTCTCATGGGCTTTCCCACCCGGCTGCCCCCCCCCCCAACGTTTCCCTCTCTTGTCACCTGATCATCTCCCTGGAGACAGGAGCCTGGCTCAGCGGGATGCGCCTGCCCTGGTCACCACTGTGTCACCAGGGTCGCCAGGCACACACTTGTTCTTTCTCTACCTCTGATGTGTGACCTCGGGGAAATGCCTAGCCTTCTCTGAGCTTTAGTTTTCCTCATCTGTAAAAATCATATGTCGACATCTCTTTTGTAGCCCAAACTGCTCAGCACCCCGCACACAGCTCAGGCAAATCAAAAGGAGACGATGGGGCTGGGAAGGTGGCTCAGTGGTAGAGCGCTTGCCTCGCAGGCATGCAGCCCTGGGTTCCATTCCTCAGCACCACAGAAACAGAAAAGCCAGAAATGGTGCTGTGGCTCAAGTGGTAGAGCACCAGCCTTGAGTGAAAGCAGCTCAGGGACAGTGCCCAGGCCCTGAGTTCAAGCCCTAGGACCAGTGCTCTCTCGCGCGCTCTCTCTCTCTCACATACACACACACACACACACACACACACACACACACACACACACACAGCCCTACAAAGCCTGTAAAATACATTTCTGGAATAAAGCTAAAATACAAGACTCTGCAAAGCTTCCAGAATGAGTAGGAGGAAGGTTCTGGATTCACCAGCCAGGCCCCCCCCCCGCCCCCCCCAGCAGGGCCCCTGGGAGGGGTGGGCAGCAGGCTTATCACCCAGCATTCTGAAAGGACCCTGACGCCGCCCCCCCAGCCCCCTGCAGCTGAGGACCCTCATGTGTTGATGGGGCCCAAGCTCAAGCAGTGGGCAGAGGGTGGCTGAAGCCTAAGGGTTCCCTGCCTCAGTTTCCTGGGGGAAGCAGATGCCGCCGCCTATGCTGGCCTGGGATCCAGGGTTTTCTGGGCCTTGGATATCAAAGCAGGCATGACAGCAGGGCGCTGGTGGCTCACGCCTGTAATCCTACTCAGGAGGCTCTGATCCGAGGATTGCTGTGTGAGGCTAGCCTGAGCAGGAAAAGTCCGCGAGTCTCTCATCTCTAATTCATCACAGAACCCAGAAGCGGCGCTGTGGTTCAAGTGGAAGAGCACTAGCCTTCAGCAACAAAGCTCAGGGGCCGCGCCCTGGCCCCCAGTCCAAGCCCTAGGACCTGTAACAACAGAAAAAGGAGCAGGGCTGGCGGCCAGTCCGGCTCACTAGCCTCCGCAGGGCGCCGGGACTTGGGGTCCTCTCTCTCTTTCCTACGCCTGCCTGATCTCACATCTGGGGGTGGTCCTCTCCTTAACTGGCCTTTTGGGGTGCCCAGCAGCTCCAGGGAAGATTTCTTCCTGAGACGCTAAGCACAATGCACTATGTTCATCCCCCGTGGTCACCGCACTTGATTTTGGTGTCCTGCATCTTGTCTAATTTGGGGAGGGGAAGGGGATCACAACACGCAGGGAGGGAAGGGGGAGTGTAGTCATGGAGATGGGGGGGCAGGGATGGCAAGGGAAAAACAGAGGAGGCAACAATGCTTGATAAGAAATGTACTCATTGGGGCTGGGAAGGTGGCTCAGTGGTAGAGCGCTTGCCTTGCATGCCTGAGGCCCTGGGTTCGATTCCTCAGCACCACATAAGCAAAAAAGAAAAAAGCCGGAAGTGGTGCTGTGGCTCAAGTGGTAGAGCGCTAGCCTTGAGCTGAAGAGCTGAGGGACAGCGCCCAGGCCCAGAGTTCAAGAGCCGTGACTGACCAAAAAAACCCCAACAAAACTAAACCCAAAAAATGCAGAAACAAGGACAGAGGATGACACATTGCAACAATGATACCAGCAAGACATTATATTGGAAATAAACTTTACAACTTGTTGGGGGGGGGAGGGAAGGGAGAGAACAAAGGAGGGGTCACTCACTACCTGCTCATGTAACTGTAACCCTCTGTACAGCACCTTTGCAATAAAGCAAAACAAAGAACCTCCCGAGGCCCCAGCCGCGGTGGACACGGGCTCCCTGCTGTCCCCTGCACCTTCCCTGCTGTCCCCTGCACCTTCCCTGCTGTCCCCTGCACCTTCCCTGCTGTCCCCTGCACGCTCCACCCCTCCCCCGCATCCTGCCAGCGCCTGGCGGCCTCTGGCAGCCTTCCGGAGGATTCTGGAGGGAAACCTCATCCACTTGTTTGTTCTCATGATTGCTCCCATTAGGATCAGAGCTCCCCCCCAAAAACGGGGACCTCATTTTTGTCTGTTTTCCTGGAATGATACCTGGCACAGCTGCTCCATAAATACTTGTTAAAAGTCTAGCACGGCAATTCATGCCTGTAATTCCAGCTATTTGGAAGGTAGAAGTGAGGAGAATTCTCGTCCATGTTGGCTGAGGGGAAAAAGACTCTAAGTGAAAAATAAAGCAGAAAGGGGTTGGGGTACAGCTCAGGTGTCTAGCAAGCCCAAGCTCTTGGGTTCAAACCTTAGGACCACACCCCACCCTCCCCCCAAAAAAGGTTAAATGAATTGAGGCTCGAGCTGCCGAACCAGGAACGGGGCTGGGCAGGTGAAGACCCCACGCCTCCCGTCCATTCACGCTGTCCAGTCCTGGGCAGGGCCAGCCCGCAGGGAGGCGCTCTCCACCAAATGGCTGTGAGGCGGAGGAAGGCAACTGGCAGAACAAGAGGTCTGAGTGTGGAGCTGCTGTCCGGGTGGGGCGAGGAGGGGACACCTCACTGAGAACTGGAGACGAGGGGGAAGGCCACAGACCCAGCATGTGCAAAGGCCCTGGGGCAGACACACCTGCACCCCGCACCCTGCCCGCCAGGCTGGGAGGAGGTAGGGTCAAAGAGGATTTTTGTGCTGGCCCGGGAGGCTGGAACTCAGGGTCTGAATGCTGTTCCTTACATTTCCCCCTGAAGGCTGGCACTCTACCACTTGGGCCCCACCTCTACATTCAGCTTTTTGGTGGTTAACTGCAGCCGAGTCTCGTGGGCTTTCTTGCCTGGGCTGGCCCCCTCGGTGGCTGGGGTGTCAGGCGTGAGCCACAGGTTCCAGCAGGACTTGGGTTCTGACCGCTGAGGTGGGGCGTGGAGGGCCCCAGCAGGGCTGAGCTGGGGTGCTCTCCACGCCCTGCACGAGCACCCCGGGCCTCCCCCGGGTCACCTTTTCTCTTGGCACTGGGGATGAGGGCCGGGCCTTGCTGCGCAGCCCTACGGCCCGGCCTCATGGCACCCGGGACTGAAGCCAGGGTCGGCACGTGCCAGGCAGGCTCCTCGCCCCCCCCCCCCACTCACTACTGTCTTCTGGGGTCAAGGAGCGTGGCAGGGCTGTTACAGCCTTGCGCGTGCGGGAGGCAAGTGTCCGGGCTGCGATCGCGGCTCCTCCCTGGCCAGGAGCCAGGGCTCTGGCGGCGATCCTCCCCCCCTTCCCCTCCCCCGAGCAGGCCCGGGCACTGGGGAGCCCAGGGACTGCGGGCTCTAGCCCGTCCCAGGAGCCACAGCGGGGGGCAGGCTGACGTCAGTCCCCACAACCCAGTAAATGTTTATGGGCGAGGGGGCCTGAGTTGGGGGCTCCCTGGAGTCCGCTCCTCCCACGTGGGGGCCTGGCAGGCCGCTGGGAAACTGGCCACTGGCCCAGAAAGGGGGGGCAGTCACTCCTGCCTGGGGCAGCCGGGGATGGGGACGGGGGGGGGGACAGCAGACCCGCACGGAGGGTCACCCCACAGCTCTCAGTGGGGTGGTGGGGGGAAGGCAAAGGTGGCAAAGTGGGGTCACTGCCCCCGCTGGCCATGGTGAGGAGCGCTGAGGGAGGAGGTGGAGGCTGAGACCGGAGGCCGGGCGGGGGCGAGCGGCCTCCTCGGTCCCCAGCCCGGCCGCGGTGCCAGGCCCGGCCCGGCCGCCCTGATTTATGACCGCGCGCAGCCTGCTGCGGCCTGCCCGGCTTCCGCCTCGGCTGCCAGCAAGCTCGTTCTGCCCAAGGAGCCGGGGCCGGGCCGGCGCCCCAGCGTTCCGGGGGCCCCCTAAATCACGGGCTTGACAGCTCGTGGGCCAGGCTGGGTCACGAGGCGCTGCCGGCGGCACCCCGGCACCCGTGGCGCTCACCTGGCCGGGCGAGCCGGGAGCCGGGCCCGCAGGGCGCCCCGCTTCAGCGCGCAGGAATTTGGAGGCGCTCTGGGAGTGGGGCCCGGGCGTGTCCCCTGGGCTCTGGGGGCGGGTCCAGGGCAGGGGGGCCGTGGGCAGAAGTGTGGGTGACTTTCCACTCCCGGGTGGGCACTGGCGCTGCCCGCCTTGCTCTGCCTTTGGCGGCAGCCCGGTGCCCTCGGCCTGGCTCGGGCGGGCCGCGGCGGTGGCGTGCAGGGTGCAGGGCAGGGTGCGGGGCGCAGGGCAGGGTGCGGGGTGTTGGTGATCAGCATTCCCTCGCAGGGCTGCGGCCCCCCCCCCATCAGGGACGGACACGCACAGTCCACATTAAGTTTATTGGTGGGCTCGCTGGCCCTCCCCAGGTCCCGGAGGGCGGATGGCTGGCGGACTCACACCTTCCTGTCCGCCACCAGCTCCCAGCCCTCCAGCTGGCCCATCTTGAGCAGGGCGGCCGCGATGCCCATGCACACGCAGCCCGTCGCGGCCGTCCCGTAGCTGTGGGCTGAGGAGAGGCGACATCAGGCAGGGGCCCATCAGGCCCCCCCAGCCCCCCACTCCCAGGCCATCATGGCCTCCACCGGTTACAGGAAGGCATGGGGCTTGGGAGACTGGGGAAACTGAGGTCCTTCCTGGAAGAAGTCCAGATTGCTGGATCCTCCCACGTCCCGGGGGAAGAGAGATCCTCGCTGCCCCCACCCAAGCTCGAAAATGCTGGGCAGCCAGAAGGGTGTGCGTCACACCCCAGGCAGGGTGCCCCTCCTCAACCCCGGGTCCCTGTGTGCCCACGGTGGGGGTGGGGGTTAGGTGGGGGAGGGCGGCTCTTCTGAGGGGCGGGGCCTGGCCAGGCACCACCACGGGTGGTGGTGACAAAGTGTGGCAGGCAGGAGGGGCGCTGAGCACTGGTGACAGGGTGTCAGGATGGTGAGGGGAATGGAGCTGATACCTGGGGCTGCGCACAGCCTGTGCAAAGGCCCTGGGGCAGGGCAAAGCTTGGCATGTTGGAAGAGCAGCCCAAGGGGGAGGGAGGAAGGGGCTGGGCATGCACTGTAGCTCTGTTGGGTGCAAAAGGCCGAGTGGCTTTGGCCGCCGCAGGGGCATCTTCCTCTGTAGTTGCCCTAACTCTGCAGAGAAATGTGCCCGCCTGGTGGCTGGGTCCGAGGGGAAGGCAGGGGTCAGGGTTCCCTGGGCCACTCACTCCGAGCTCCCAGGGTCAGGCCTCCGGCGCAGCCCCCGATGAAGTAGTTCAGGGGGTCGTCTGGCTTCTCGCGGGCCTGGCTGGTGACGCAGGTGGTGAGTCCAAACATGGCTCCAACGGCAGCTGCAAGAGTGCGGGGTGGAGGGAAACCCTGGGAAACACACTGCCCCCCCAGCCCCTGCCCTGGCCTGCCCCTGGCTTCCTGGGTCCCCTGCACGTCCCCCCCCCGCACACACCTGCAGTAAAGGTGTAGCGACCAACCCTGGCCACGTTCTCCATGGGCGAGCTCGACGGCCTGAATATGATGCTGTAGGCTCCGGCGACCAGGCCTAGGGGGGAAGGGGGGCTGGTCAGAGCCAGACTGCATGCCGCGGGGCGCTGGGCTGGCCTCGAACCTTGGGCCTGCACTGCAGACCGGAGCGAGGTTCTGCCCCCGCCCCCCAGGCCCCGCGCCACTCCCGTCAAAGGCTCCACTATCCTGTGAGGCCGCGATCCAATCTTCCTTGGCAGTGGCAGGGTGTCGGGGTGCCAGCGGCTTGAGCTGCCACTCTCGGGCCCTCCCCCGCCTGGGTGGCCAGGCCTGGGCGTGTCCCTGGCCTCCCAGGCCTTCACCCCACTCAGCTTTTCCACCCGCTGCCTCCGCCGCCTTGGCCCAGACACTGGCTTTTCTGTGCGCACAGGGGGCCGGACCCGCACTGGCCCCAGCCCAGGGCCAGGTGGGTGGTGAGGACGGCTCCATCCCCAGTCGGGCCCTGCTGGCTCCCCTGGGGGCGCAGGGGGGCGCCTGGGCAGCAGGGTCCGGCCTGGTGTCCCCCTCCAGCGTCACCAGTCACCACCTTCGGCCTGCCATCCCCAGGGCGCAGGCGCAGCTCAGGCATCTGGAAGAGGCCGCAGGGAGGACGGAGCCGACTCCCCACTGTACTGATGGGGACGACGCGTGAGACTGCACCACACAAGCTGCTGCTGACCCCCACGCGGGGTGTGCGGCTGCAAGGGGACGGGGCCCATCTGGTTGAGGGAGCCCCTAACCTCCTCCATATCCTTCTTCTTGTCCCTCCCAAGTTATCTTCCTCGTGTCCTCCCCTGCATCCACTACCCAGACCACCTGGACTGCCCACTGTGCACACGCGGGCACAGGCGTGCCAGGGGCTCTCACAGTCTTCCCTAGGGGACCCTCACGACATCACCCCAGGCCGGCGAGGCCACCGCGGGCTCCACAGCGAGGGCCCACACAATCCTAGGCACCCCTAAGGCCTCGGACGGGGCGAGGATCACCCCCACGTCCTCATCAAGGGAGCACCCAGCCCGTCACCTCCCCTGCCACCACCCCCACGGTGGGCACGGAGACCCTCGCTGCCTCACCCCTGCCTCCCAGCACCCACCTGCCCGCTCTGTGCGGCCCGCATTCGCTCATTCCCCACCCAGCAGGGCGTCCGTCCGCAGCGCTCCTCCCATCACTGCGTCTCACAACCGCCCTGCCCCCAGTGCTCACTCATTCATTCATTCATTCATCCCCTCAGCTCTATGCATGCACAGTGCGCATTCTATCAGCTCTGTGCTCATAGTAGTCAATCATTTCAGACACCACTCACCTACTCGGCTCTGCCCGGTGGTGCTTACTCGTTCACTCACGCACTCAGTCACTGTGCACGGCAGGGGCTGGGTCCTCCAGGAAGTGCGGGCTGGCTGCCATGGAGGTTCAGGCACCTCAGGGGAGCCCCAGGGAATGAAGGGCGGGGGGGGGGCAGGGAAGGGAGCCGGCCCGGGGAACCCATGCCTGTCCCAAGCCGGGATCTCTCAGGGCCTCCTCCACAAGGCACCTCTGGCAAGATTCCCACCCGTTGCTGGAAGGGGTTCTCATTGGGCAGTGCCCCCCCCACAGCCCGCGGAGGTCCTCTGCACCAACATGGCCTTCTACTTCGAAATCCCTCCGATTCTTCCTGAAGGGGCTGGAGGTGTAACTTGATGCTAGAGCATTTTTCTAGCCTTTGCCAGGTCCTGGGTTCTATCCTCAGCACCACACAAAATGGAACAACAAAAAAGCAAAGCCAAGCTGGGCACCGGTGGCTCACGCCTGTAATCCTAGCTACTCAGGAGGCTGAGATCTGAGGATCACAGTTCAAACCCAGCCTGGGCAGGAAAGTCTGTGAGACTCTTATTGCCAATAAACCTCTAGAGAACTGGAAGTAGCTCTGTGGCTGAAGTGGTAGAGCATTTGCCTTGAGCTGAAGAGTGCAGGGACAGCGCCCAGGCCCAGAGTTCAAGCCCCACGACCAACAACAACAACAAAAAAAGCAAGCCAGGCACTGGTGGCTTACACCTGTGATTCTCGTTATTCAGGAGGCTGAGATCTAGAGGATTATAGTTCAAGGCCAGTCAAGGCAGAAAAGTCTGAGAGACTCCATCTCCAATTAACCAGCCCCCAAACAGGCTGGAGGTGTGGGTCCTGTGGTGGAGCACCAGCTGTGAGTGAGCAAGCCAAGCAAGAGCAGAGAGGAATGGCACTGACACACTAAACCAATCAATCACAAGCCAAGAAAACAAACAAAAACAAAGAAAACCCCCAAATGGGAAAAAAAAAATCTCCCTAAGGTCCCAAATGTCAGGGTGACACCTTCCTGCTTTCATTTCCCCCAAACAGAATTACTGAACTCCCAAATGTTATGCTTGCCAGTCCCTAGTACGTGTCCCCTCAGGAATGTGTGAGTAGACGGGCCCCTCGCGTGTTAAGATGTGACGTGAGCCAAGTTCACTGTAAAGACACAGATGAAGCCAGGCACTGTGGTGTCTACCTGTAACCCCAGCCCTGGGTGGCTGAGGCAGGACAGCCAATTCCAGCTCCACCTGGGCTACAGAGAGACCTCAGCCAGTGCCTGTGAGGCTCACAGACGAGACAGGGGTGAGATTCTGGGGCCTGGAAGGCCAGAGCTGTGGGTGTCCTGTGCTCCCCAGTGCTGCCATTTGTTAGCTCTTGACCCAACTCCCCCAGGTGGTAGCGCCAACTAAAGCCTTAAGAATCCCTGGCCAGGGGCTGGGAAGGTGGCTCAGTGGTAGAGCGCTTGCCTTGCATGCCTGAGGCCCTGGGTTCGATTCCTCAGCACCACATAAGAAAAAAGAAAAAAGCCGGAAGTGGCGCTGTGGCTCAAGTGGTAGGGCGCTAGCCTTGAGCTGAAGAGCTGAGGGACAGTGCCCAGGCCCAGAGTTCAGGCCCCACGACCGGACCCAAAAAAAAAAAAAAAAAAGAATCCCTGGCCTATATGACAAAGTAAACAGGACTCGAGAAACAAAGGCCAGCCAACCACTTTGTCCTATCATTGCTAAATGACTCCATGTTCTTGACCATATATATGGTATATGTATGCACACAACAGTGGAAGCTAGGAGGAAGACACAGAGTAAGTGGGAAACAGGAAAACATACAACAGATGGGCCCACCAGCTGCACTGGACATAGATGAAAAAGAACTAAGCAACCCAAAGACAGCGATGGGAAGGGAGGAATGAGAGGGAAAGAGGGAACAGCCTATACTAAGCAAAAGGAAAGAAATGTAAACACCACCTAACGTGGAAGAAATAATGGTGTGGTCAAAGCTCATAGAACTCACAAACTTCATAGACCATAATGGCAATTTGCCTTGTGAAGGTTAAAATGTATGTGTGACTTTAAGTATCACTATTCCACAATACTGTGGAATATGTGAAATTCATGTAATCATCTAATCTCAGTTAAAAAAAAAGTGAGCGAAGGGATGGGTCAGGAGCGACGGGTGACAATGCTGTCAGACACTGTGTACTCATATACTGTTTTGTAGAATGGGAACTTCTTTGTACAACTACTAAAAAGTATAATAATAAAAAGGAAAGGAAGGAAGGAATCAATCAGTACCAGTGGCTTACAGCTACAATCCAAGCAACTCAGGAGGCTGAGATCTGAGATCGCAGTTCAAAGCCAGCCCGGGCAGGGAAGTCCATGAGACTACCTCCAATGAACCACCAGAACACCGGAAGTGGAGCTGTGGCTCAAAGTGGTAGGCCTGAGCCTTGGGGGGGGGGGGTACAGCGCCCAGACCCAGAGTTCATGCCCTATGACAGATTTAAAAAAATGTTTTTAATGCCCGACTACTCACCAGGTCTTAACCCGACCCAGACTTTAGGGGTCAGGCACCCGTGGCTCACGCCTGTCATCCTAGCTACTCAGGAGGCTGAGATCTGAGGATCGCGGTTCGAAGCCAGCCCGGGCAGGAAAGTCCCTGAGACTCTGATCTCCCATGAACCAGCAAAAAGGAGGAAGTGGCGCTGTGACTCCAGTGGTAGAGCGCCGGCCTTGAGCATAAAAAGCCTGGAGTTCAAGCCTCAGGACCGGCGTAAACAGACCCGATAGGACCGCGCCTTCCGCGCCCAGAGCCCGCCAGGTGCCCCGCTGCGAGGCCGACCCCGACGGCCACCCTGAGGCCTCCCGCAGGCTGCAGATGGCGACCCCGACGACCCCGCACCGGAGGCGGGGGGGCCCCGTACCCCGACTTCCCAGGCCTGCCAACCCCGCGGCGGCGTCGGACCGGCCCCAGCCGAGGGGGTCCCGGGGCGGGGCCCGCGCAGCTCCCGCGCTCACCCGTGCCGGCGCCGAGGACCGTGGTGATGTAGCTTTTGCGGTGGCACTCGGTGCCCTCCGGGATGGCCCAGTACTGATCGAGGAGGACGCGCGCCATGACGCGGCCGCCGCGGACCCGCACCGCCGCACGCTCCGCCGGCTCCGCGCTCTCAAGGACGGCCGCCGCGGAATCTCGCGAGACTTCCCGGGCGGCGCGCGCAGGCTCCCGGGAGGTTCCGACCAGCAACAACCGTGCAACTTTATTGAGCGCCGCGAACACGGACAAAGAGGTCGCGCGCGAGCGCTAGGGAGGCGTGCGCCCGGCGTGACGCGGTAGTGTAGGGATCGACCGTGGGATGAAATTACCTGAGGGGAAATTGAGGTCTGCCGTGATTAGCGGTGATGGATTTTGCTAGCCCAAATTGGCAGTTTGACCATTGGAAATAAGGTCTGACCTAGTTAGGGGAGAGACGGTGACAGGTGCCAGGCCAAACCCAAGCACGGACTACAACGCTAGGCGGGGCTCCACTTAATAGGCTGGAGCGATAATTATGGGGCGGGGCTTGCCGGCGCCGTGGCCACTGGTAGAGCCAGAATCTTTCTGGGGCGTGGCCATGGTCTCCGCGTGTCACTATTTGGGGGCGTGGCGAGGATCAGGGGCGGGGTTTGTCAGACATATAACCAATCCGCGTGCTGGGATTTTAGCGGGCTTTGGCCTAGGCCGTGTCAAAGTTGGCTCTAGACTACGGGGGGCGTGGCCACTACCAGAGGCATTTCTACAAACGATCTTTCAATGGCTGTAGGAGGGCCTACGGGGCGTGGTCTTTCTTGGGACTCCCCTTAACGGAGTCGCGATCCCGAGGAAAGCCTCTCGGGCTGTCCTCTGCTGGGCGTGTCTGCTGGGCGTGGTCAGATGTACTCGCTTAGGATGTGAGCCAATCCTGGCTAGAAAGTGTTGACCCGCCCCGTTGGTAGAGCAGCATCTGGACAGCGGCGCAGAAACCCAAAGCCAATCTGGAGGCGTGGCCTGTCTGTCAAGATCTTAACCAATCCTGGGGCGAGGCAGGGATTCGGGGCGGAGCTCCGGCCGTCGTGGAACCAGTGCGAACGTTCTGGCTGGAGGAAGGCACAACCTAGGCCTGGGGCGGGGCCCAGGGGAGGACTGCAGCCAATCGGGCTTGTTCTTGGAGAGGGGCGTCGCCCTGCTCGTAACCGGCCACCCCGGGTGGGGCGTGGCCGGGCCTGGGGCCTGAGCCGGGGGCCATGTCTGCACCGCCCGCCCTGCAGATCCGGGAGGCGAACGCGCACCTGGCAGCCGTGCACCGGCGCGCGGCGGAGCTGGAGGCGCGCCTGGAGGCGGCGGAGCGCACGGTGCGCGCCCAGGCCGAGCGCCTGTCCCGCCAGGACCAGCAGCAGCGCACGGCCCTGGAGGAGCTGGGCCGCGCCAAGGACCGGTGAGGCCCCGGGGCGGCCCAGGCGGACTTCCCGGAGGAGGTGGGCGGAGATGGAACGGAGGCTGGGAAGGGAAGGACAGGGGAATCGCATTGCACTCACGCGGAGGCTGACTGCTGGTGGAACTGAGGAAAAGAAAAACAACAAAACTCCAAGAAAGTTAAATCAGTAAAGTCGAGGGGTGAATTCGGAACTTCAAACCTGGCCAATGTTCCCAGAAGGGCACATCGATGGTCATGACCGGTGCGAGGGCCGGAGATCACCCTGATCTCTGCCACAGGGCAGCGGGAGCCGCGGCCGGGGGCGATGGAATGATGGCACCTGTGCGGTTGTGAAGATTGCCTGTGTTCCTGGGTGCGTGCGCTCACGCCTGTAATCCCAGATACTTGGGAAGGGGGGATTGGGAGGATCATGGTTCCAGACCAGCCCCCCCCCAAAAAAAAATGTGAATGAGATCCATTCTCCACCTATAAGCCAGGCTGAGTGATAGTCATATGTCATCCCCTTCCTGCAGGATAGAGGTCTGAGGTCCGCTTCAGGCAAACATAGAAGACCCTGAAGATCCTAAACAAAACCAAAACAAACAAACATGCCCAGCTGGATTTGCATCCTTATAAAAAGAGATGCCAAGGGCGCAGGTGGCTCATGCCTGTAATCCTAGCTACTCAGGAGGCTGAGTCCTGAGGACTATGGTTCAAAGCCAGCCTGGGCAGACAAGTCTGGGAGACTCTTACCTCCAATAAACTACTCAGAAAAAGCCGGAAATGGGGCTATGGCTCAAGTGGTAGAGCACTAGGCTTGAGTACGAAGAGGCTCAGGGATAGCATTCAGGCCCAGGATAGGAGAGAGGGAGGGAGAAGGAGAGAGAAGGAGGAGAGAAGGAGGGAGTGAAGGAACTAGAAGCTGTGTGCAGTAGCTCATGCCTGTAATCCTAGTTCCTTGCGAGATGAAGAGTGGGAGGATGGAGACTCAAACAAGTTTTAAGCAGATCTAAATGGATAGCAGCACCTAGCCAAAAACAAACCAACCAACCAACCAGGGCTGGAAGCATGGCAAGCCAGCCAACTGAGAGTTGTGAGGCTGATAATTCAAACGCCAGTACTGACCCCCAAAAAAGAGGGGGGGCACCAGTCCCAGGGATCCTGCTTTCCCTAGTCCCTAAAAGGTCCATCTCCAAATGCCATCCTGTGGGACAGGGGGAGATGTAACATTTCCCTGTGTTAAGGCAGGCTTTAAAGCAGCTGAGGGGAACAAGAATTTGCTCTGGATGGGCCTGAGGAACTTCTGTTGGGGGAGGGAGGGAGCAGGCATGGGAAGAAGCTGTCCCTCTGGTCCCTCAGTACCGTGACTGTCTCAATGTTGTCTCTCATCCAGGGAGATTTCAGCTCTGCAGGAACAGCTGCTGGTATCCGAGGCCTCTGTCCACAGCCTCCAGGCTGCCTTGCGCCAGCGAGACGAGCTCATAGGGCAGCTGCGGCCTCGGGCTGAGCTGCTGCAGGACATCTGTCGCCAGCGGCCATCCTTGACCACACTGCTGGCTGCCCTGGCCCAGGCCGAGCAGCTGGGGCCCGTGCCGGACAATGACCCCTGCCATCTGCTCCCTGGAGGACCTGGCCCGCCCCTAGCCAACAGTACTGGAGAGGAAGGGCGTGAGGATTACCTTGAGCCTGCGGTGTTTGGGACCACGGTGTGAACCCTGGAGCACAGGGTTGAAGAGCCAGACATAGAGGAAGTGCCTTTGGGAATCACCACTGTGGAAATCACATCCTGGAGGGCACGCTGGGGACACAGCCATCATCCTGTCCAAACATGGAAAGAAGCAAAAAGCCAAGTTTTCATTTTTTAAATTTTTTTCTGCAGTGCTGGAGATTGCAAAGATGACTTTTTTTTTTTTAATAAACGGGAGCCCATAGGCTGAATACCACTTAGCCCAGACAAGTTAAAACAAACAGTGAAACTTTGCATCTCTCATTGTTGAAAAACTGGCAATGCTTATGTGAACACTGTGGATTGATTTTTTTTTTTTTTGCTTCAGTCTTGGCAGTCAGTGCCTGCCTGAATCTGAACCCTAGATATTCAGGCTAGGAGATGTGTTGTCCCTTACTTCTTAGACTACCCATGGGGCCTGGAAGACTGAGGCAAGTCCTCTCTGTCTCTGTGGACATATGTGGTACGTGGGTTGAGTTTTTCTTCTACCTCTCTCCCCACTAGCCCTCTGCCTTCTTGTCATCGGAATCATCTTCCATCCTTGGGTTATAGTTTTTTCTTTTTATCTCAGTCAAAAATGGGTAGCCTTGCCCAGCATTGGTGGCTCACACCTGTAATCTGAGCTACCCAGGAGGCTGAGATCTGAGGATCGCGTTTCTCGAAGCCAGCCCAGGCAGAAAAGTTTGTGAGACTCATCTCCAATAAACTACTCAGAAAAAGCCACAAGTGGTCTGTGGCTCAAGTGGTAGAGCTCTAACCTTGAGCAAAAAGAGGCTCAGGGACAGCACCTGGGCCCTGAGTTCAAACCACAGGACTGGGAAAAAAAAATTGCTTTATCCCATTTTCCATTGGTTATTTGGGGATCATTTTTAATCCTGGATCTACTTTCCAAAACTTTACCTTCCCTCAGCTTCTCCCCTCCTCCCCAATTTTATTTTGAGTTTTGGTGGTACTGGGGTTGACTTGGGGCCATTTGCACTACTGGAGCTCTGCCATTTGAGCCATACATTCAGCCTGGCTTTTTGCTAACTAATTGGAGATGGAGTCTCATGGACTTTTCTGCCTGAGTTGGCCTTATATTGTGATCCTCAAATCTCAGCCTCTTGAGTAGTTAGGCTTACAGACATGAACAGCACCCAGCTCTCCTTCAGCCTTTCATCCCCAAAGCAGAGAAGGCAGGAGAGGCATGTAGAGGTGCTGGCAACCAGACTGCCCAAGCTGCATCCTGCAGCCTTTTCCTGATGGTGTCTTGCCTCACAGCCTTTGGCCTTTGTGCTGCTGTGCCTCTGCCTAGAACGTTCTTTCGTTCTTTCCCTCGTTTACTGTTTACTCTGTTTACTTGGGTCTTTGCTCAGAGAGGCCTTACCTGACCCTCTTACCTGAAGTAACAATTCGTCCTCCAACCTCACCCCTGCCTTACAATGATTCTACCTTTTTTTTTTTGTTTCCAGTCCTCGAGCTTGAACTGTCTCTGAGAGTCTTTTTGCTCAAGGCTAGCACTCTACCACTTGAGCCACAGCCGCCACTTCCGGCTTTTTCTGCTTATGTGGTGCTGAGGAATCGAACCCAGGGCAAGCGCTCTACCACTGAGCCACCTTCCCAGCCCTGGAGTATCTGTTTTTGCATTTTGCGTTTCCACACTGCCCTCCCAGGCCAAGAAATGGAAATAGTCGCAGTTTGGTATCAAGATTCCTGTGCCTTCTCACCCCCAGCCTGGGTGCAGCCACACCCCGGCCCTTATACTCAGGGAACTGTCAGCAGCAGCTGCCGAGGGGCTGGCAGGGTCTGTTTTGGCTGGAAAGTCTGATCTCTGGCCATCAGGATAGGACTGCCTTCCCACCTGACATCGGACAGCGGCCTCTGCAGTGGTGAGGGTATGCTTCCTCCCCACCCCTTCCAGGAATAAGTGGGTGCTGCTTCACAGAGCGGGGGGGGGGGGCAGGTTGGGGCCTGGCTGTCCTCAGGAATAAAATTGGATGATTCTTAGCCTGGGTCCTTGTTTGTCCTTTCTTCCTGGCAGGAGGGCTGGAGAGGAGGCGCTGGGGAGGGCCTTGACTAGGGCGGTTAGGCCTGGGGTTCATGGCAGGGTCTGCTCCGCCCCAGGATTGTCGTAAGCATGGAGCCACCTGTGCACACACACTTGCCCCCATGTCAGCACCTGTGCAAACCAAGAGACGTGACAGAGAAACAGCTTTTATGACTGGAGTTTAAGGTCGCTCCCAGTATTTGGGAACAGTTACTGTTGAGATTCTGCTTTCTTCCCCCCCGCCCCCTGCCCCCCTTGTGGTACTAGAGATTGAACTCAGAGTTTCACATTCACTAGGCAGATGCTCGACCACTTGAGTCACACACCTTAGCCTTAGTACTCAGACTACGCCCTCTACTGCTTGAGCCACGCCTCCATCCTTTTTGTTTTTCCCCAGTGCTAGGGTTGAACCCAGGGCCTCACACAGGCCTAGCAAGTGCTCAGCACTGAGCTGCACCCCAGCCTGCCATCATTTTTGTTGTTGTAGTTGTTTTGTGCTGGCGCTGGGGCTTGAACTCAGGGCCTGGGCACTGTCTTTGAGCTTGTTTTGCTCAAGGCTGGTGTTCTACCACTTGAGCCAGAGCTCAACTTCTGGTTTTTGGTGGTTAATTGGAGGTAAGAGTCTCACAGACTTTCCTACCCTAACTGAACCATGATCCTCAGATCTCAGCCTCCTAAGAAGCTAGGATTACAGGGGTGAGCTATTGGTGCTTGGCCTGGCATCTCATTTTTAACCTCTCTCCCTCTCCCTCCCTCCTTCCCTCCCTCTCTTTCTCTCCTGCTGATACTGGGGCTTGAATTTAGGGTCTTACACTCTCATTTGGCTTTTTCACTCAAGGCTGGTGGTCTACAACTTGAACCATGCTGCTAGTGTGGCTGATAAATTGGAGATAAGAATTGCATGGACTTTTCTACCCAGGCTTGGCTTCTAAGCTTGATCATTAGATCTCAGCCTCTGGAACAGCTAGAGACTATAGGTGTGAACTATCAATGTCTAGCAAAGAATATTGCCAGCCTTTTCTCGTTTCTCTTTAACATTAAGAAGTTTCCCTTTCTTAGTAATATAAAAATTCCTGTATTCCTTCCTCCCCCCTCCCCTCCCCTTCCATGTTGGAAATTTAGCTCAGGGCCTCACACATGCCAGACAAGCACTCAACCACTATGCTACATTCTTACCCTTTATCAGATTGGTGGAGAGTACTGGGCTTGAATCTACCTTGAGCTGTGCCCCAGCACTGATTTTTAGAAGAGTAACAGCACTGGAGGCATGGCTGTGTGTTTCTGGCCCTGGGTTCCATATTCAGCACAACAAAAAGAGAACAAGCCGGGCGCTGGTAGCTCACTCCTGTCATCCTAGCTACTCAGGAGGCTTAGATCTGAGGATCATAGTTCGAAGTCAGCCTGGGGAGGAAAGTCTGTCAGTCTTATCTCCCATGAGCCAGCAAACAGTTGCAAGTGGAGCTGTGACTCAAGTGGTGGAGTGCTAACCTTGATCATAAAAGCTCAGGGACAACTCCCAGGCCCCGAGTTCAAGCCCCAAGACTGGCACACACTCAAAAAAGCCATCTTGGCTCAGTTACTTTCTGACGACCCCTGTGAGATTTGACAGAATCTCAGGACCTAGGCAGGCCCTGGGCTCTGCCCTGCTGCAGACTGCTCACCTGGGCCTGAGGAGGGCTGCAGCTCAGGGCTGGGCCCAGCAGGGCTGGAGGAGGGGAGACGCTGCCTCCAGCAGCCATTTTCTGGGCACAGGACGCTCCAGCCAGGCCCCTCCCTGTCCCCAGAGCCAAGTCCCTTGGCAACAGCCTCTCCAGGCAGAACCAAAACTAACACTGGGCAGAGCCAGCAAGACTCCCAGACAGACGCAGGCCAGGTGAGCGGCAAGGGGAGGAGGTGCTGCAAGGTGACCCCACTCTACCCTGGCTGCCCTACCATAAAGTCCCACAGAGACCTTTTCCCTCCAGCTGCCCCAGCATGGACACGGTGGATGGCGTCATGGAGAGGCTGCGGGCGCAGTGCCTGTCCCGAGGGTCCTCGGGCATCCAGGGCCTGGCCAGGTGAGGGTTGGGTAGGATCCTCCTGTCCCCCCGCCCCACCCCCCATACTGGCTACTGCAGAGATGGCGGCCTCCTCAGCCTCGTTTGCCCCTAGGTTTTTCCGCCGCTTGGACCGGGATGGGAGCCGGTCCCTGGATGCGGGGGAGCTGCGGCGTGGCCTGGCTCAGCTGGGGCTGGCGCTGGACCCGGCGGAGGCGGACGCCGTGTGCCGGCGCTGGGACCGTGACGGCAGCGGGACCCTGGACCTGGAGGAGTTCCTGCGTGCGCTACGGGTGAGGCGGCCTTGGGGGGCTGGGTGCTGGCTGGGAGGTGGGACTCCCTCCATCTCTGGCTTAGGGTACCCCAGTGCCAGGCTCCATCCCAGTCATTGCCCCTCCCTAGCCCCCCCTGTCTCAGGCCCGGAAAGCGGTCATCGCCGCCGCCTTTGCCAAGCTGGATCGCAGCGGGGACGGTGTGGTGACGGTGGAGGACCTCCGTGGGGTGTACAGCGGCCGGGCTCACCCCAAGGTGCGGAGCGGGGAATGGACGGAGGAGGAGGCCCTCCGCCGCTTCCTGGACACCTTCGAGTCTTCCGACAAGGATGGGCAGGTGGGTACCCACGCAGCCTCCCCTCCCCCCAGCACCCCGGCTGCCCATCACAGCCCGCACCCCCGCAGGTCACACTGGCAGAGTTCCAGGACCACTACTGCGGCCTCAGTGCTTCTGTGGATACTGACGAGGAGTTTGTGGCCATGATGACCAGCGCCTGGAGGCTGTGAACGGCGTCCAGCGGCCCCGGGGGAAGGGGGGAGGGGTAGGGTGTGTGTGCCCAGGAAGGCCCGATTCCACAGGAGGGAAGGGGGAACAGTCCCAACAACCGGGCGACTGGCGTGGGGCCTGGGGACATGGTCCTCCCCATACATGCTGGCTCACAGCACGCCCAGCCCAGCCCTCTCTGTGCGGGTCCCCTGGGCGGGGGCAGAGCCAGGGGAGGGGCTGAACCTCTGGAGGCCCCTTGTGTGCACAGGAAGCCAGGACTTTAGTTAAAAGTTTTAATGTAGTTCCCAAATACATTTCATATGACAATCTTACATAAATGTTCCAGAACACACGGGCATGGTCTGCTTTTACTTGTCCCTAGCTGGCTAAGGCTTGAAGCAGTGGGACTGAGCTTTCAGCTTGGCCTCCGGTGTCTCCGCTGGCCCAGGCAGACCGGCACTCGCAAAGGACGGAGGCCTCTCCCCAAGGTGGGGCGGAGATTTCCCCCGAAGTCTGCGGGGCCAGTGTGTGCAGGCCCCGGGGGGCTGTGCGGGCTGCGTGCATGGGCACAGCCTGCTGTCCAGGGCAGGGCCCTGCCACTCAGCAGGCGCCTGGTTGACACCCATGGCCTCTCGAGGCCCCAGATAGTCACGATGTCTGAGGCTGGGCAAGGAACGGCCAAGGGCAGGGAGGGGTCCTCGCTGGGGTGCCTGATGGTGAACCACGTGATACGGATGGAGGGTTGGTGCGGAGGGCCCTGGGGACCTTCCCGGGAGGCATTCCAGGTGTAGGCCAGACAGGAGCCCCACGCTGAGCCCCAGGGGGCTGTACACTCGCAGCTCAGGAGGCCGGGCCGCAGGGAGGGCAGGGCAGGCCAGGCCTGCTCAGCACTCAGGGGCATCTTAATCCAAGACACCCAAACCAAAGCCTTTGAAATTAAAAAAAAAAAAAAGTGTAAAATAGAAACCCCAAATCAAGAGCATGGGGACCGGGAAATAGAAAGTAGTAAACAGAATGTCCGTGGGCCCAGCACCTGCCCTCCTATGAACCGACAGACCCTACCCCGGCCCCCGCCGCTGCCACGCAGCCAGACCGGCTGGAGGGGGCGACAGCCCCTCGGTGCCCGGGCTGCAACACTCGGGTGAAGAAAGCAGGTCTCTGAGTCCCAGTGAGAGGCTGTGACAAGTCTTAATGTGCCATTTCAATCAAGGAGGGGCGGGGAACACTCTTTTTGGCTCATCAATATGATGAGACTCGTGTCCCAAAACCACATCCAGGCAGCTCCCGGGTCTGCTTTTGAACTGGACGAGCCGATCCACACAGTGGCCAACCCGGCGGGTGTGGTTCCGGTTCCGGCCTGTGGACGCAGCCTGCGGGGAGGGGCGGCAGCGGACAGACGGACAAAGCAGCAGGCTCATGTGCAGGCTCCGGCCGCTATGTGCTCCCGGGGGTCTGCCCGTCCCCTTCGTCCCCGGCACCTGTAGGTGAGCGTACAGGGTCCTGTCAGGTCTGGAGGGGACCTGATGGCCAAGCCTGTGCAGGGCACCCCACCCCCGGCTCTGGCTCCTCCCCTCCCCTAGGCCCTGCCCGGCTCACCGGTGCTGGCGGCCCCCGAGGGAGCTAGCACGTCGTCGTCATCGTCACTGTCGTCCTCCTCATTGGACGGGGCGGCCCTGGGCTCGGGGGCTGGCACCTTGGCCTCCTGCTCCTGCTCCACACGGCTGCGCAGGGCCAGGATGCGATGGTGCAGCGCCGCGTAGAGCTGACCTGTGTCCTTGGAGCTGGCCTGGGGAGGCAGATGGTGAAGACAGGGCTGCCTGCCTGTAGCAACTGAGAGGGGTCAGCACCCCACCCACCAAGGCCCCGCCAGCCATCTGGGTCAGGTCTGCATGGCTGGCTGACCTCTCCTCAAGGGCCTCCCAGGCATCTGGGAAGGGACTCGGGATCAGGGCAGTCAGTGCTGGCTGGGACAGGTGGCTGCCACCCCTTGGTGAGGCACCGATGGAGGTGCTGTGCCTGGCTAGGGGAGGAGGGAGGCAGCGGGAGGGGCACAGTGAACTGGGGGGAGGCCCCAGCAGGCCAGGCGGGAGGCAGCGGGAGCTCTTCCTGAGGGGTGCCTGGGCCTCTCGGGCTGCTGCCACCACCTCAGCACAGAGAGTCAGCTCACCGAGATCAGGAAGACCTTGACGCCCTGGTCCTCGGTGTCCATGGCTGTGATGCGGATGCTCTTCTCACTGGCCTTGTCCATCTGCATCTGCGCCCACAGCTTGGTGTTGAGGATCAGCCGCAGGCTGCCCTGGGTCCGCATCACTGCAACCAAAAAGGCGCTCAGCGGGGACTGGCCCACGGCTGCACTCCTGCCCACCCATGGTGGCAGAGACCACCCCCCCTGAGCCACTGGATAATTCCCCCAGTGGGCCAACCTCTTGGGGCCAGGAGAGCAGGAAGCAGGGCACACATTGGTAAGCGGCAGCCAGTGGAGCACAGCAAGGGGGGAGGTGGTGGCTGCTCCGGGGCCCAGCTCTCCCTACCAGACGGGCGTGGGGAGGGTCAGAGGGGCACAAGGGTCAGAGCGTGTGACTACCCAGCCCTGTTAACACAGGACAGCTTCCACAGGAACTATCTGCCACTGGGGGGGGAGGGGGGGGAGGAAGGATGGGGGGATGGGAAGCAGGGCCAGCCTGGCTTGGCACACGCGTGTGTGGCTGAGCATCCTCTGGGGTGAGGGCGTCTCAGTGCAGGTGGCTGGGGCGAGCCATCAGCAGCGGCTAACAAACACTTAGCTGCCAAGGGAACCGGGGCAAGGAGCCATGCTGGGCAGCGCTGGGACAGTGTGCTTTTGAAGGAGGTGGGAGAGGGGACAAGAGGCAGGGGCAGAGGTGGCTGGGAAACTGCCCCTCCTTGGCAAAGCCAGCCCAACAGTAGCTGAAGCGGACGCCAAAGCCCGGGGCGAAGCTGAGCCCCCAGTGCGCGGCTCTGGCCGGCAGCTCAAGCTCACCTAGGCGGGACTGCAGCGTCCCGTCGTCAGTTGACGCCATGTCATTGAGTCTGAGCAGCCCCCGGCCTCGCTCCACCCACGACTGTGACGTCTTATCGAAGACGAACAGCTTACACTGGATCTGCAACACACATGGTGGCCGGTGGGTGGCAGGGACCTCGGGGCTCCAGTGTGGGGTGGGGGACGTGGGGGACAGCCGGACCCGAGTTGGCCTTGCCAGCACCACCAAGTGCAGCATGGGTGTTCAGGTGGGCCCTCGGTTAGTTTCTTCTTTTGTCCTTTATGTGTGGTAAGCTAATTGTTCAAATATAAATCAAGAAGGGCTGGGTACTGGTGGCTCACGTCTGTAACCCTAGGTACTCAGGAGGCTGAGATCTGAGGATCATGATTCAAGTCCAACCACCAGAAAACTGGAAGTGGGACCGTGGCTCAAAGTGGTAGAGAGCTAGCCTTGAGTGAAAAAACGCACAATCTAGTGCCCAGGCCCCCCGAGTTCAAGCCCCATGACCAACCAAAAAAAAAAAAAAGAAAAGAAAAGAAAATCAATGAGACACTGCCTTACATTATTCTAGGGCAAGATAGAAGCAAAGACTCAGGGAACACTGAGTGGGGGAGACCAAGGTGCTATAGAAATCAGGGGCAGCCTCCTACTGCCCAGCCACAGCTCATAGGAAATAAGTCTTCCAAGCCTGTCAAAATCCCACACGTGTGCTGCATATCAAGCTGCAAATCAAGGTTGTCAAATAGAAGACACAACTGGGCACTGGTGGTTCACACCTGTAATCCCAGCTATGCTTGAGGCTGAGACCTGGAGGTGTCTGGGCAATAAAGTCTTCAGAGACATCAGCTCCAACACCCAGCAAAAAGCTGGACTGGAGGCATGATTCAAGTGGTAAAGCACCAGCTGTGAACTTGGTGGGAAGCTGAGCAAGAGAGGGAGGCCCTAAGCTCAAGCTGTGGTACCTGTACAAAAATAAAAGGAACAAACAAAACAGTAATAAAAAAAAAAGTAGCTGGGCACCAGTGGCTCACACCTATAATCCTAGCTATTCAGGAGGCTGAGATCTGAGGATTGCGGTTCAAAGCCAGCCAGGAAAGTCTGTGAGTTTTATCTCCAATAAGCCACTAGAAAACCAGAAGTGGCGCCGTGGCTTAAGCGGTAGAGTGCTCGCCTTGAGCTGAAGAGTGCAGGGACAGCACGCAAGCCCAGAGTTCAAGCTCTAAGACTGACCAATAAATAAATAAACGAATGAATAAAAGTGGACACACAGTCTGGTTGGTCCGCCCACACTGGTGGACGGGGCTCTGACACTAGGGTGAAGGGCTGTGTGGACACTGCCCACAGAGAGAAGCAGCTGACAAACAGCCCCAGAGTGTGGCTCCGCGACAGGAAGTGGGCCCGTGGAGGCGGAGCTTCCTTGTAGGGCACAAAGGGGTTCTGGAGTGGCCTGTGCTGATGGGTGCACAGTGAGACTGCGGCCGTGCTGCGGCGACAGCCCCAGGTGTGCGCGCTCACCTGTAACACGTTGCTCTCCGCCTCCTCCCCAGTGATGACCTCCACCTTCTCCAGTAAACACTTGCGTGCCGTGGCCTTCGTGTAGGCGGCTGCCGACTCGGCCAGGGACTCTGAAATGTTACTAGCTGAGCAAGATTGACTCCTTCATTTGGCAAAGGGTATGGCTGATGTGCTCCATGGGTGCCCCTGTCCCTGATAGGCTAGACCCAGGGAAAGAAACCCCAGACACCTGGCCTGGGACTCTGGGAGCATCCCCCCTCTTTGTCCACCCCCCCTGCCCCGCCCCGCTTCCCTGTCCAGCAGAGGAGAGACATAGAGGCAGAGGGCAGATGAAGAGAACGTTCCAGGCCTACTGCTAGAGGAATGAGCAGCCAGCCGAAAGCCCCCACACCGAAGAGGCCAAACCTCCTCCCATCCCCTGTGGAAACACCAAGCCCATGGTTCTCATCACTGCTGGTCCCCCCACGGGCCAGATGGGACAGCCACACCCCGGACTCTGCCATACCTTTCTCAGGGGTCGCCTCCTGGGAGGAGGACTCGGACCCCGACTCGGCAGCCGCGTTCTCCCTGCTGGCATCTGAGCTGACTTCATTTAACTTGGGGGGGCTCTACGGGAAACAAGGCAACCGGGGAGGTTGGTGTGGGGCTGGGAAGGTTCCTCAGAACTGGGAGCCTCCCTGGGCACAAGGCCAAGGGTTCTGCCCTGGCTAAGCTGGTCCTGATTTATAGGTGACAATGCCGTGTCCATCTCTGCCACATGTTCCCAGGGGCTGCTGTACCCTCCTCCTGCGCCCCCCTCCCCCAGCGCCTACAGCAGCTGGCGGGGCCACTCACCAAAACGCGCTCGCTCATGTTTTGGCCAAACACAAACTTGTTGCTGGAGGCGTCAGCACTGTTGGTCGAGTTCTCTAAACTGAAGAGGAGATACAGTGAGCATGACTCCAGACACGCGCAGAGCCCCGTGTCGTCCAAGACATACCATGTGTGCACACCGCACCAGGCCTCTTCAAGGAGGGCACAAAGGCATCTGAGAGGCCCCAACTCTGGGGGGAGCCAGAGCCCCATGTACCCAACCCAGGCCAAAGGGCACGGGGCTAGCCTTCGCAGCTCCACCAAGTGGTGGAGTCACCGCGGGCCCGCTGTGTCTTCCACGTGTCATGGACAGTCCACTCAAGTCCTGTCCTCTCAGGTCTGAGAGGCCTGGCTGAGCCCACTGCCCTGGCACTGCCCGCTCAAGGGCAGCTGCTCCAGGGAGGGCTGGGCGCGGCGGGGCCAGGCACGCACCTGGAGCTGATGTACTGGAGGAAGTAGTTGGTGGCGGCTGGCGTGTCTGAGCTGGGCTGCGCCGTACTGTCCATGCTGCTCGTGCCGGTGTTCTCGTTCATCAGCTGGGGACAGAGGAGGCATGGCCGCTCACAACAGGGGTCTGGGCTGCACAGCCCAACAGGCTGTATGAGCAGCCTGCACTCAGGGGTGTGGGCCTGCAATTGCCTCCATGCTTAGCTTTCAACAGGCAAGATATAGACACAGGCCATAAAGCACACAGAGCCTCTGCTTCCAGGGTGGCATCCCATCCATGCCTTGAAGCTGGGATGCAGCGCTGCCACGCCTGGCCTTGTCAGGGGAGGTAAACATGGTGGCTGCAGCGCTTCTGACACCAACGCTGTGAGTCTGTTAAAGCTACTGGGGACTGGTCCCCAGGAGCCCTGAGAGGGAGGCCCCTTCAGGTGTGATTCCCCAACTCCATAAGCCCCGGGCAATGTCCGATGCAGGGGGAGCTCTGACTCCCCTCCTGCAGGGGTGCCCGAGGGCCTCGCCATTCTACCTGCAGCCACAGCAGTATCACAGCATGCTGCTGCTGCTGGATGGCAAGGAAGCAGGAGACTACAGTTAAGCCAGGCAGGACTGTCCACCTGGTAGACTTGGCAAACTTCTAGTTTTCTGAAACAGGGTCTTAACGTGTGGCTCAAGCTGGCATGGAGCTCACTATTCTCCTGCCTCAGTCTGCAGAGTTCTGGGATCACAGGTGGGTACCACCATGCCCAGCTGGAATGGCAGGGCGCTCCCCCCCAACTCCACGCCAGGGACCCACCACTGTAACCACCACTGAGTGATGCACTGCTACTGCAGCCAGGCTCAGGCTGCACGAGCTACGGGAGAATCCCGGGGGAGGCCGGCTTGGCTGGGGCATCTCAGATCCAAACCCAGGACAGAGAAGTTGTCCCAGCAGCCAGTGCTTGCCAAGACTCATCTCTACACACTACTGACTCAGTCCAGGAAAGGAAACAGTCTCTGACCATGATACCTTTAGAATAAGGTGGCCAAGGCACATGCCAGTGGTTCTAGCACTTGGAGCCAGGCGTGTGAACCCAGCCCGGGAAATACCATAAGATCCCATCTCAAAATAAGCACATAAAGGTGAAGGCAGTTTGTGTGTGTGTGTGTGTGTGTGTGTGCAGTTTTGCCCCAGGACACCCTGAGTGATGTCCAGGGACACCTGTGGCCGTCAGGATGACAGGGCTCTGTGTAGAGGTGAAGGCGCTCCATATAGAGCAAGATGCCACAGGAAATGAAAACAGCCCTGTCCAAATGCTGCAGTGCCAGGCCAAGTCTCCTGTGCTGGACTAGGAAAGAAGAGTGTTCCGGGGCCCTCCCCAAGCCCTTTGTCAGAACACATGGAGCCAGATGTCTGGGTGCTGCACTCAAGAGTTGGGGGGCCCTAAACAATGCCAGTGAGGGAGCTGTGTGGTGAGGCTGCCAGGAACCAGGGCAGGCTGGGGGGGTGGGGGGGCTGTGTGCAGACTGCAGGTCACTCTGCAGCTGCTGAGTGTGGAGGGGGCGTCAGGCCGCACTGCTAGAAGAGCAGTTCCTGGAGTCTGGGCACGTACCTTCACCCTATCCCTCAGGTTCTGCCCGAACATAAAGGCTTGCTGCGTGGCCTGCTCTCTCCCCTCACAGCTCTCCTCCCCACAAGTGCCTCCACACTCATTTTCCTGGGGCTCTTGCTCCTGTTAACAAAGCAGAGCACGGTGAGAAAGAATGGCGACGCATGAGCTGACCGCCACGCTCCTCAGGGCGTGCTCCCGGCTCCCAGGGCAGATGTAGGGACTGGCACTGGACAGGTGGCTGCAAGCTTAAGCAATGGTGCTGGCTCCATAGCTTCTGCCCACCCTAGGGAGCTTAGACTGAATGCCCTTAACCAGAGGTAGCCTTGGGAAACCCCTGGGGCTATGACCCTCAGAGTCAGCATCTTCTCAGCCACTGATTTCTGGCCCCTGGTGTGGGGTGGTCCTTGCTCCCCAATACACTGTGGGAGGACGGACTACCCAGGTTCATAGCCAGCCAAGGGCCTGCCTAGCCTGGGCTCCTCCCCTAGAGGTGCAAAATGTAGGAAAAAAGAAAGGACAATAGGCAATAATGACTAGAGATTATCTAGGGGACTTGCTTTCCCTGGAGATCAGTGTCCACGTTTTACTTCATGGGCTTCCAACTCTGAACTTGAGGGGAGGACTTTCGTGAGGTTTTAAGTAGCTCATTCATTAATTTTGGGATAGTGGAATGTGAACTTGCTAGTAAATCATGTTTTTCTCAAAACTACAAAATGAAAGCTGTACAGACTGAAAAGGAATGAAGTCGGGGTGAAATGCTGGGAGGGGCGTGGCATGGGGGCCTCTGGCGTTTCTAGGTGGCAGGGACTGGGACCAGGGCCAGCACCAGGGCAGAGAGCACAGGACTGACTGTCTTGCTAGTCTGCCAGAGTCTGCATTCCTACGGCACTTCCTATACTGCTGCTAGAGCTCATGTCCTGTCATGGCCCGTGCCTGCGCAGGAGCAAATATGGCCTTTGAAAATGGCAAACACACCGTGTCCGGCGGGCGCTAGGCAGCAGGGTGCACCGACCTGCCTGCCATGGCGGGGATGCACCTCCGCCAGCCACACCCCTGGCCCTCTGCCTTCGAGCTGCTGGCTTCCTGTACACCCTGGCTGGTGCTGTCCCCGGCTGGGCAGAGCTGTAGATAACCTGAGGTGGGGACACAGGCAGTGCAGTGCTGTGAAGAGCAGAATACAGCAGAATGTTTCTGCCTGTAAAGCAAGTGTGGTCTGTGACCCAGAAGGCTCCTTCCCGAGGTTCCTTCAGTTACCCTCACCTGCACTTCCCCCACCCCTGTAACTGGCTTAGGAGGGGGACAGGGAATCCCTGACTCACTTTTGCCAGCAAAGTCCCTGTGAGCCGGCCTTGGTGTGGATGGCCTGGGGAGCTTGGCCCTGGGCCTCACTGGGCCCCCATGAGTCGTGTGGCACTGTGTCACATGCCTGTGCAGGCAGAGGTCTTGCCTGTCTCTTGCCATGTGACTGGAGAGTACACAGGGTGTTCCTGGGACAATGTGGGTATGTGGCACCTAGGGCATGCGCCCCACATAGAGCCAGATGGCCATGATGTGGGAGGATGACCCTCATTCATGAGGTGGTCCAGCCTGCAGGCCGAAGTTGGGGAGACACAACTCTGAGCTGTGGTAGTAACCAGACAGCTGGCTCCCTGCAGGGCTGAGCTGAGGGCCTGGGGAGGAGGGCAAGGAGTGTGAGGCTCAGGCTGTCTTCAGCAGTGGAGGCAGAGGGGAAGACGAACACCCCAATCTGGCAGTGCACAAGGATACCACGTGGCCACTGCAGCGCTGATCTCAGTGCCATCTGTGCTGCCTTGAAAGCAGGCTCTGCCAAGCATCCCTTCTAGGACTGCTGGGAAATACAGGCCCAAGGACCTTACGCCTGGGCTGTCCAGCACCTCTACCACGTGGAATGAGATTCCACTGGGACCTCTTCATGGGGGAAAAGGACACCACAGGGCCCTGGGAGGCATTTCTCCATGTAAAATGCTGCAAGACTGCCTTCCATGACTCAAGGGCTCTTGTGGAGACACAGGTCAAGCACTGGGGTGGCCCCAAACTGGATGGCAGTGCTCTGCTGGGGTCCTATTCTCTGATGATGGATGAAGCCCATAGTTGCCTGGCAACTTGGCTGTCAATGCTGTGGGGTAGATGCACTGTCTGCTGGGTCCTATGTGATGTGGGAAGGGTGGAACCTTCCAGATGGGCCCCAGTTCACAGACCAGACCCTTCGCCATTGTGAGCAGTGTCACCTGGTTTGCTCAGAACCCATTATCTGTTGCTACAGCAGATTACATAGGCTGAGGAGTCGACAGGGAAGGGCTCATCCCACTCACTGTGTTGAGACTGCAAGCTCAGGCCGCACAGCACCAGCTAGGCTCACCTGGCTGTGTTTCATGGTGGCAGGAGCAAGTGTGACAGCCAGGAGGCTGGAGGGCATGCAGGGGATGATCCTACCCTTTAGGAAAACTTACCTCAAACGCAATCCCCAGGCAGCCTGATGCAAGTGATTCACACCTGCAATCCTAGTTACTCAGAAGGCTGAGAGCTGAGGATCTCAGTTCAAAGCCAGCCCAGGCAGAAAAGTCATGAGGTTCTTAGCTCTAATTAACCAGCAACATGTTAGGCTGGAGGTGTGGCTCAAGTGGTGGTACATTAGCCAGGAGCAAGAAAGCCAAGCCAAGTGCAAGGCCTCGAGTTCAAGTCCCGGTACCAGCCAAAAAAGAACCTCTGGGATCCTAGGAGGGCCTAACCACAAAATCCTAAGTGGCACTCCAGCTCACACAGGGCACATTCCCTTCCCCCTCCAGCCCAGGACCCACTGACCTCAAGTGCATGCACCTTGTCTGTGGGCTCGGACGGGCTTCTCTGTGCAGAGTTTTCCGGTGACGATGCTGCTGCTGCCCCCATGCAGTCTGCTGGGATGCTGACCCCATTGGTGCCGCTGCTCGGGACTGCAGGAAGGACAGGGGGAGCAGCTGGGCAAATGGCGGGGCCTGCTGTCCCCCCTCCTGCAGTGTGCCTGATACTGGACCCTGGCTGGGGCCCCTCCTATTAGGTTTGGCCTACAGTGTAAAGTCACCTTTATAAGGGACCTGCTTTATCTTACAATGGCTCTGCTAAAAGCCACACAGTCCTCAATTAAAAACAAAAATAAAAGGAACTGTATAGGCCAGGGAGGCAGCTCAAGAGAAAAACATGCTCAGCACGTATAAGAGCCCCCTCCCCCAAAGAACAAAAAGACGAAGCAAAAAATGAAAGTAACAACTGAATGTTCAGTGTGTTTAGAAGCATTATTGCTAGTTAATAATACAAAGGAACAAATTCTTTGAGTTTCTAATGCATTTTTGAGTTTCTTAGGCATTTTTCCTTAAAATCATGTGAGTACACACATGTCCAAATCTGGCCTGGGTTGTTCAGCATTAGAACAAAATAGCTCCTGAGGTAATTAACCACTTCAGAGATATCAGGCAGTTTTCCCACGATGACTTACAAACGTGGAGTGCTCAGAGGTAAAACGTAGGGGGTAGGAGAAGTCACCAATGTGCACCTAGTAGAACAGTGCAGGAGTTCAATGCACAGGTGGAAAGGCTCCTCTCCTTAACACGACCCTCAGGGCAGTGATATTAACTGGAATGTGTAGTAAATGCCTGTGGCATGGTAATGCATGTGTGTGAACACAACTGTAGCTAATAGTAAAATTGGTGACTATTATCGCCAGTATGTAAGACAATTAGCATAACTAATACATAAGCTAATTTTAAAAAAGAATGGCTCTCAAGTCCCCTGGGCAGGACAGAGCTACAGGGTGCCAGGAAGGGCAGCTACTGTGAAGACAGTGGTTGGACAGTCATGCAGGGTGGGGGAGACCTCCTCTACGGGGCTCAGAGGAACTGCAGGGGTGTGCTGGGCTGGTTCCTATCTCACCTGCCTGTGGAAGCACCTTCGGCTGTGGGGCCTGCAGCACGGCTGGACGAAGCACACTGCGCTGCTGCTCCTTGGGTTTCTGGCTCGGCAGACCTGGAATAGAGTCGCTTTCCTGGGGTGCTGAGTGCCAGCTGGAACACAGCACCCCTGCCCCAGGACCTGTGCCCATGCGCCACAGGGTGGATCTTTCTCTGTAGCTAGACACCCAAGTTCGGGCTGACTGAGGCCCAGGTGGCCTGTGGAACATGGGAACAGAGCTGTTGTACACTGTCACTCGTTGAGGGACAGGGCTCCAGAGTCAAGGGCAGCTGGGCAGTGGGAGGCTCTGTACTCTGCTTAGGGCCCCTTTCCAAAGCTACATGGAGTGGTGTGCCCAGCCCTCCCCACCCCATGGCTGGGCTGGCCCCTCACAGGCAGTAGATACTACATGGAAGCAGCCACTTGGGTCATAAGGGGACTGAGTGTGCTGTCGCCAGGCAAAGCTCAGGAAAGGTGTTGGAAAGCCATGTCCCCCTGCTCTCAGGTACCACCTACCTGCACTGGGTGCCTGGCCATGGATCAGCGTCGGAGGCTTCAACCGGAACCCACTGCTTTTTTCCTCTACAAGCGGAAGACAAGATATGGGAAGCAGGCCTTCCTGGGGCAGGGCAGTCAAGCAGGAAGGGGCTGGGATGGGAGGGCTGTGGGCCTGGAGAACAGGGAAAATGGCTGCAAATGACAGCTCTGGGGCAAAATGCTGACAACAGGGAATGAGAGAGTGAAGGGATGCAGGCACAGGGCCATGAAAGCCATGGGGTCAGAATCCTTCGTCCCAGAGGAGGGCCAATGCCAGGCCGCTGGCCTGGAGAGCACCACGGTGCCCCAGAGCAAGGTAAGGTCCTAGGGTCTGCTCATATTCCTAGAAGGCTCAGAGGGTAAGAGGGTACCTAGGAAAAGGCTTTCTTTGGCCAGCTGCTCAGGAAGTGCACTCCTGGCAGCCTGTGAGGGCCCAGAACACTCAGAGCTAGAGCCCAGGGGCTTCAGCTCAGTGGTGGTGATGGTACGATCTGGCCTGGGACCCCAGCAGTGCTGGAGACCACCTTGTTTTTATATTACACATGTCACCAACACTCCAAAAATGTAATGAAGAAAAGAATTCCATCAGGTCAGGCAGAGGGGCACACTTGTCACCCCAGCACTCAGGAAGCTGACGCAGGTGGATCTCGAGGTCCAGGCCAGCCAGGGCTACATGTATAGTAACTTAGAACATAAGTAAATGTAAAGGTACCCCAAAAGTTCCACAGTGTATAACTCATTGTTAGGAAACTTTCAGAAAAGGGAAATTAGGAGAAAAGATGTGGGTTTGGGGCCAGGGGCTGGGGCCTCTTAGGGGGTAACAGCCGCACGACTGCACATTAAGATGTCAACAGCAGAGCCTGACATGCCTGGCTGGGTGAGCTCTCAGCTCTGAAGGTCAGGTCCCGCTGCTGACAGGCTGCTGTTCTGGCCACAGCCGTGTAAGTGCAGCACTCAGGGCAGGGAGGACCCTGCCGCCTACAAGCGAGGTGCTGGGTGGCACCTGTGATGTGACAGAGGCCACACAAGCAGATGCCCAATGTGCAGGAGCAAGGCACCACCTAGTAGCCTTTTCAGGAGGTGAGCGCTAACTTATGTTTTCTTCCCAAACAGGATGACTGGCAACTTGGAGACATTTTTGAAGGTTGAAGTCAAACTTCTAATTGAGTGATTCTGAAGACGTCTGGGGAGCTGGCTTCAGGACACCTCTCTCTGCCTACAGAGAGGCTCCTTGGTGCCTCCTTTCTGGCTTGCCCTCTCAGATGGCCAGCAGGGATGCAGGCCCGGCACTGACTGGTCCTGGCACTGGGCCCACACCTTGGCACACTCATAGATGCAAAGGAGATGCATGCTGAGGGCATGGCAAGCCGGGGTTCTGATAGCAGGTACGCTCTCGAGGGAGAGAAGAGGTGGAAGGAGGGTGAGTGGCCAGCCAAACCCCAGAGGCCCCTGTCCCAGCCCTGCCGTATGGAAGCTAATGAAGTCTCTTGTCATTCCTTCCAGAAACACGCTTTTCCTGGCCAATGTAATGTGGCTGTCTCCTGGGCAGATGAGCACAGCCCGGGGTCTGGGGGCACAGGCTGCTGTGCTGGGGGCATGACTAGATGAAGAAAGAGCCCTAGGGGGTAGCTTCTGCCTGTCTGGGAAGCATATCTGAGCAGCTGACCAACTGGAGAGAGCTACGTGATGACAGGGAAGCAGCACCTACCCATACCGAGGGACCTCTCACCTGGAACTGAACCCCGCCTGCAAAGGAACCCTGCCTGGTAGCGCTCTCTGCAGGGCTGTTGTGGGCATGGGTGGCCTGCTCGGGGATGGGTGATGGAACAGTGGAGACAGTGCTTTGCTGGCAGAGAGGAGGTACAGCATGAGCAGGAGAGCTGGGAGGACGTGCTGGGGCTGTACGGGGTACCACGTGGGCCCCACGCACACCCAGGCAGTCAGTGGGGGCAGAACTTGGTTCCAGATAGTGGTCTCTACAAAGAACTAGGCCCCATGAGAAATGGAGAATCCAGGAAGATTGAGCCTGAAGACACTTGTGGGGCAGGCAGGAAGGAACCAGGCAGAAAGGCAGGGATCTTGCAGAAAGTGGTCTTGCTGACTTGATCTTGGCCCCTGTGAGCGCTAAACAAGTAATGGACCATCAGCCCCAACAGGAGTCTAAATGCATACTTCTGTAGTTAGCTTGCTTCAAGAGGCCAGCAATACACAAAGTGGGGAAGGAAAAAGGGGAAGGAGAGGGAAGAACCTGTGACAGGTGAGATGCCATTTCCTGCTATCTCCGAGTAGCTCTCCAAAATAACCACAGGCATAGTAGTGCCACCCTTCCTGTGCGATTGAAGGCTCCCGGCTATCAAGCCAGGCCAGCATGGTACACACGGGAAGCACTATCCCCGCATGAGAGCTCACCAAGGCACATACCTGGGTCCAACCCAAATGGAAGGACTTGTACAGGACAACGGATGCAGAAGGAATAAGGTGGCAGTTGAGGGAGGGGAGCTCTCTGGCTATGACCAGGGCAAATCCTCTGTTAGAAAGGACTCAGTGGAGGGGCTGGGAAGGTGGCTCAGTGGTAGAGACCTTGCCTTGCATGCATGAGGCCCTGGGTTTGACTCCTCAGCACCACATAAGCAGAAAAAAAAGCCGGACGTGGCGCTGTGGCTCAAGTGGTAGAGCGCTAGCCTTGAGGTGAAGAGCTGAGGGACAGTGCCCAGGCCCAGAGTTCAGGCCCACGACCGGACCCCCCCCAAAAAAAAGGACTCAGTGGAGCCACATGTGGGTGGCTCACGCCTGTCATCCCTGCTACTCAAGAGGCTGAGATCTAAAGATTGCGGTTCAAAGCCAGCCCAGGCAGGAAACTGTGAGACTCTTATCTCCAATTAACCACCAGGAAACCAGAAGTGGCGCTGTGGCTCAAAGTAGTTGAGTGCTAGCCTTGCGTGAAAAAGCTCAGGGTCCAGGCTGGGAAGGTGGCTCAGTGGTAGAGTGATTGCTTTGCATGCATGAGGCCCTGGGTTCGATTCCTCAGCACCACATAAGCAGAAAAAGCTGGAAGTTGTGATGTGGCTCAAGTGGAAGAGCGCTCGCCTTGAGCTGAAGAGCTGAGAGGCAGTACCTAGGGCCCAGAGTTCAGGCCCCATGACCGACAAAACAGAAACAAAAACTCAGGGTTCAGTAATGAGGCCCTGAGTTCAGGCCCTATGACCAACAGAAGAAGAAAAAAGGATTTGGTGGGCTGGGCTCCTCTTGAGTTTTCTAAAAAAGTGCCAAGGTAGACAGGGCATGTGGGACCTTCACTCTGCAGGTAGCCACGAGCCAGGGCCCTGGGGCCTTTAAGCCAAGGCAGCCACAGAGAGGTCCTGAGCCACCCTGCTCCTAATGCTAAAGGAGGAAGACTGGGAGCAGGGCCACCACAGGCCTCAGCTGGTCCTGATAGCACAGCCTGCAGAGGCTCCCCACCATTCAGAGCACCAAGGCCCAAGCCACAGCCAGGCCAGCTGACCTGCCACTCCTGAGGCTCCCCAGGATGAGGCCAAGGGAATGCCACAAAGCAGCTTGCTTTAGGGGTGGAATGAATTGGGGTGTTTGAAATGGTACCACTAAATCAGTCTTCCAGTTATAAAAGCCACTAGGCCTCTGCTCTTGCCACGGATACCACACTGGGCTATGGCTTATCTGGAAATGCTTTTGAAGCTGGTAGTGAATTTATATAAGGCAGGTTGGGTTACAGAATTTGGGCTGTTAAACTGGCTCATTAAATCTTTTATGGGGAATTCAGCCACGTGGGAGAAGCTTCAGGAAGCCTTAGAGTTCTCCAGTAAGAGACCAAAAAAGGCAGGCTTCCCTTCTCTCTAGTCTCACAAGCTGTTCCCCCAGTGTTGTAAAGCTGGGATTATTCCATTTATCTGAATGGATCTGGGCAATATTAACTGGCATGAAATTTAATGCAGAGCACAAGGGTCTGGAGACACCGCTCTGGCTGCGTAGCTACCTTGGGGACTGGAGGGTGCATGGATGGGAGATCCTTTCTCTTTTTAAGATTTAAATTAGTTAATTTGGTAGTACTAGGGGTTGAACTCAGGGCTTTGTAATTGCTAGGCGGGTACTCGTTAACATGTGAGCCACATCTCTTCCAGCTTTTGCTTTAGTTGTTTTTCAGACAGGTCTTGTATTTTTGCCTAGGCTGGCTTCATATAGAGAGGTATTCCCACCTACAGCTCCTGCAAAACTGTTAATAGAGAAGTACATGATCATACCCAGTTTATTGGATGAGATGAGGTCTAACTTTTCGCCTAGAAGACTAGTCTTGGACTATAACCCTGTTGGATCTCTGCTTTCGAAATTAGCTGGAATTATAGGTATGAGTCAATGTGCTTGGCTTTTTTTGTCCCCTCTCTCCTTCCCCTTCTTTCTTTCTGTGTGCTGGTTACTTTGGCTTGAACTCAGGGCCTCATACTCTCAGTTGGCTTTTTTGCTTAAGGCTGGCACCCACTGTTTAAGTGAGTTACCAGCTTTCTGCTGGTTAACTGGAGATAAGAGTCTTACAAGAGTTTTCTGCCCAAGCAGAAAACTAATCCCGATAAATCCTTATAAAAAAGGTAGTAAGATTTTTTTTTTGGGTCGGTTGTAGGGCTTCAATCTGGGCCTGGGAGCTGTCCCTGAGCTCTTCAGCTCAAGGCTAATGCTCTACCACTTGAGCCATAGCGCCACTTCCAGTTTTCTGGTGGTTAACTGGAGATTAAAGAGTCTCATGGATACTCCTGCCAGGGCTGCCTTTGAACTGAGATCCTCAGATCTCAGCCTCCTCAGGAGCTAGGATTACAGGCCTGAACCACTAGCATCTAGCAAGCTTTTTTTTTTTGTTGTTGTTAGAAACTCCAGCTAGGTGCAGTCCTAGATACTTGACTGACTGTGGTTCAAGGTCACCCAGGGAAACCCACAGTGACATGTGCCTATTGTCCCAGCTATGGGGAAGCACAAAGGCTGGGCATAGTGGCATGTACCTGTCATCTCTAATGACACAGTGAAGTATAGGAGGAGCATAAAGGGAGATCCTATTTGAAAGTAACCAATGCAGTAAAAAAGGTAATAAAATGCAGTAAAAAGGTAGCAGGGTGAGAGGCCTGCCTAACAAGTGCAATCCCTATCATCACCATCATCACTATCACCACCACCACCGTTACCATGGAAAACAATGATGGATACTCCAGGGCTCTAGGGAGTCTTATCTGACACTGGAGTCCAATCTCCAGAGCTGTAGATGGAAAAGCCCAGCATTCAGGACTCGAGAAGGAATCCTAATCACTAGTGCCCCTCCTTGCTGAAGACTGTCTTTTCCAGTGGCTCTGCCACGTACCAGCAGAGGTTGAGGGCTGTCTATGCTGATAGCAGGGCTCTGAGCAGAAAGCCCAAAGCACAGAGACCTCCATGCTCAATACTCTGGGCAAGGTGGTGCTGGCAGTGTGGGTGCATGGCTGGGCAGGGGGCAGGTCTCCCAATGGAGGGAGGCATTTTAAGCCCCAGCACATAGGTAAGATATCTGAACTCTCAAGAAGGAAGTAGACGAGACTCTGGTCTTCAGCCCAGCAGCCACAAGTTGGACTTGCCCATCCTTCCTAACACACTGGGCGCCCACGGGGTAGGGGTGGGGGACATCACGGAGGCAGAGTGGCCCACGGCCCCAAGCCTTCTTGCAAGCTGCCTCAGGCCCTGCTGTTTCTCACCAGCCAGGTGAGCCCCACTTGAGTGTGGAAACAGCATGTGGGTCTTCGGATGGGGGTACCCACAGGCCCTTCAACAAGTGGAGTTCAATGAGTACTCACCCCGAGCCCATGAGACAGAACCCAGCTAAGTGCAGTGGCAGAGCAAGAGCAATGATTTCTGAATACTGGGACCACTTCTGTCCCCCACTGCTGGTAACGGAGAGCTGAGGCTCTCCTAGGAACCTCCAAGGGAAGGGGATTGTCAGGGAGCAAGGCAAGGGGCCACTGCTCCTTTGGCATGCCTTCCCCTCTCCTCTCCGTGGCACCTTCTGGCACTTAGCCGGTGGCCAGGAGTGGAAGGGACAAGGGCCACAAGCAGGAGGCGTGAGTCCCGTTACTCCCACATGCCTGTCAGCATGGCCAGAGCCTTCAAATAAAGGAAGCCACCACAACCTGGACGACAAACGTCCAGGTGGGGCCTGGGCATGTGGTGAGCTGACAGCAGCAGCTCTGCTCCGGGGACCGTGTGCAGCGGTGAGGACCCCAGGGTGCCGGGGATGTGTGCCCTGCACACTCCCATCACATGTGCGTTGCTTTTGTGTGCACGCACTCTGCAATGACAACATCCTTCACGTTCACAAGTGTAAGATGTTTACACTGACAGGAGTGACTTCCCCAGGGGGTAAGATCCACGTAGGTCCATGTGTGCCCGCCCTCCCCAAAGGGGATGGAGTCACGTCGGGGAGCAAGGAGAGCCTCCTGTACAGTGCCTCTCTGCTGCAGGTCACGCCTCTCACCCCAAGGGGCCCTCCATGTCCTCCTGGCCGTTCCAAACCCTGCTGAGAGCTCCCATCTAGGGTTTCTTTACTTGCAGGTTGCTGTGTGCCTGTATGCATGCATACACGCAGTTCCCATGGACACTAGGCAGGTCAGGCTGGCCCTCTACCCAGCCCAGAGGAAGGGTGTCTTCTCCATTAGCTTGGAAGCCATAAGTGCCACTGACCGGATGGGAACACTGGTCCCACATGCCCTGGGCGGGTGACAGAATCCGACAGAAGCAGTGGAGGGAGTGTGGTTAGCTTCGCACTCACCTGACTGTGAAGCAGGGAACTGGGTTAAAGAGGACGTTCTCTCCCGCTTGACCGGAGGGCAGTAATTACCATCTTCTCGGTCAGAATCTAGAAACAGGAGAAATATCAGGCTGCTCTGTTCTTATCACCAAAGGAGGGGGGGCTGTACCTTCTAGAGACTTCCTTACCTTCTCCTGCTTCAGGACTGGAGCCTCCGGCTGACCTCTGCAACAAGAGCACAGTATGGGTGGTGAGAGTCGCCAAGCTCCAAGAACCCAGACTCTCAGCCTGGGCCATGTGGAGCTGCCAAGGGGGCCCCAGCCTATGCTTTGCCCCCTAGAACCCCACACCATGGCCTAGAAATTTCTGTGGAATCCCTCCATCTGTCCTGGAAACACATGAGGGGATGCTGTGCTGCTGAGGAAGCGCTCTCCAAATGGGACTGGTCCTTTCTCCAGAGTCCCACTGAGCAGTTCCGCTAGCGTCAGTGCTACTGGCCCAGGCCACAGGGCAGCCTGCTGAGAGCTGAAGCGGGACTGTGCACAGTACCCTCAAACTCAAACCAGCCTCCATCCCTCACTCTGGCATGTTTTATGGAGCCTCCTGTTATAAGGCAGGCTGTTCTTTCCAAGTGAAAACTTAGAAGCTTGGGGCCCAGTTCCCCTGCCAACCTCGCCACCAATCTAGATAGACAAACAGTGGTTGGTTGGGGGAGGGGTGAGAAGTCCTTCCTCCTACGACCACCCCTTGCATGTCCCTGCTTAGGGCCAGGTCTCCCTTCAGACCAGATGTGGACAGAGGAACACCACTCCTCCTGGGGGACTCTAAGCAAGAGGGAGACTTTTCCCTGCCCCCGCCCGCCCGCCCCCCCCCCCCCCCCCAGCACTGGACCTTGTGTTTGTCAGATAGGTGCTCTACTGCTGAACCATACATCTAGCCCCTTTTTGCACAGAGCTATTTTGAGATAGGGTCTCACTTCCTAGACCACACTTCTCATTATAGCTGAGATGAAAGGAATGTGCATCCAGGTATTAGTTGAGGAGTCTTGTGTCAGGAATGGCTCAAGTTGCAATTCTCTCTCTCTCTCTCTCTCTCTCTCTATATATATATTTTTTTTTGGTCAGTCATGGGGTCTGAACTCAGGGCCTGGGCACTGTCCCTCAGCTCTTCAGCTCAATGATAGCGCTCTACCACTTGAGCCCCAGCCCCACTTCTGGCCTTTTCTTATGTGGTGCTGAGGAATCGAACCCAGGGCCTCATGCATGCAAGGCAAGCACTCTACCACTAAGCCACCTTCCCAGCCCAATTTTCTTGATTCCTGCCTCTTAAGTAGTTAGGATTGCAGGCGTGGGTCAGTGTTATTGGCTGCCAACAAGCTCTCAGGGGTCAAGTTTAGCTAAATGTAGACCACGTGCTTCGATGAGCTACTGGGGACTGAATGAGATGCTGCACATGTGTTTTGCAAACTGCAAGAAGTGAATAAATAAAGGCCAGGCTGACGGGAGCCAGGAGGCCTCCTGCAACAGCCCGCTGGCACATTTTTCCCATAAAGGGCCAGAGCTGTGCTTTTGGGTTGGCAGGCCACATTTGGACTCTGACATATATCCTTTGCTTTTGTTTTTATAATCCTTTAAAAATGTAAACAGTCTTAGCTCACAGGCCACATAAAAATAGGCAGTGGGCTGGAATACACAGCAATGAGAGCCCAGAGGAGGTAGGAGGCCTATTCAAAGTCACACAGCCAATCTACAGGAAAGGAGCCTAACCTGGACTTTTTCCTGGTCTGAGAGGGGAGCAAGCCCGGGCTTTGTGCCTGTGGCCTGTGTTCCATGTGCCATCTGGAAAGTTCTAGGGGCTGTGAGAAGAGGGTGTTAATGCTATCCGCATGTGTGGATACAAATGAACAGGAGACCAGCTAGAGCTGTTGGCTAAAATAAAACAAAACAAAGCCCTTGTGTCCAGGAGCCGGTTTAAGGCTGAGATGCCAACATGGGCACAAAGCCACTCTCACTTCTACCTCCCTGAGGTGTGTGGAACACAGCCAGTGGGCCCTGGTCAGGTTCTGGGTCCTTCACTTGGACAACTGGGGTGTGTGTGTGTGTGCAGTGTTCAGGAGGGATCCTGGGCAGGGCCAGGGTCATGGACCTGGGTGGGGTTGAGGGTCCCAAGGGTGTGGGAGACTGAGACACTCTCAAAGCGCTTTGAGGCCAGCAGCCTGGGGTTATGTCCAATCACTCAGAACTGCCATCAGCTTGTCATCCCTTTCTTGGAGGACATCCTCTGGTACCACACCCCAAACACCGGCAAAGCGGGGACAAACAGGCACTGACAGCCCATTCTGGCTACAGAAACCTTGGTTCATTCAGTAGGGGCTTGAGGTCAGGCCCCCTGGAGAGCTGTCACCTCCCCTGATCCCCAGAACTCCCTCCATGCCAGCTCCAAGGTCACATCTCCAGGGCCCCCTGGGGCCCGCAGGCTGTCCCAGCACATTCCAGCCCATGCTCCAACCCCTGGCTCTAGGCTCTTCCTCTCCTATCTCAACAAGCACTTGGACTGTACCCAAAGCCTTCCATGCTGGACTCCTGGTGTTGGGCCTGTCCTTCCTCAATGACTTCTCAGACTTGGAGATGACTGTCCTCTCCTGGAGGTGGCCACTGCTCCTCACACTCCATGTCCCTCAAGGCCTAGAAGGGAACAGGTCCTCAGCATCCTCAGCATACTGCCCCAGACACGGCTTTATGGAGACAGAGAAGGCTTGTGCCATGAGCTTCCTGAGACCCAGAACATCTCCACCATCATCACGATCTTGACAGGTGTCCATACATGCTCCACTCTGATGGGAGAACACGCCTGCATGGCCCAGGTCCTTTGGCACCCTAAGAGCGTGCACCTGCTGTGGGCTGTGGATGCCATGGCTGCCCATATAGCTGGTTCTGGCTGTCACTCGGGTCCTCCACTTTCTTTCTTACTTTATTGCTTCCTGAGAGTGAGGTAGAGTCATCAACTGTTCCCCTCAATTTATTGGCTCTTCCTTCAGGTCTGTTGCTTCCTGCTCTGTATATGAGGACTCTTTCCACAACACCCCATACCTCTTTAAGGACCCAAGTCTCTGGAAGAGCCTGCTGGGTGCAACAGATCCTCCCTGCAGAGCTGAGATCCCTGTAGCTCCCAGGCAGCCTGGAAACCAGCCGCTCTGCAACCATGCGGGGCCCCTTTCCACACCACCTCCAAACCCAAGTCAGTGAGCTCCAGCCCTGAGGGGAGCTGGCTCGTCCAGTTCCCATTCCAATTGCTGAGCGCCCCTACTGCACAGTCCTGCTGGTCTCCTTGCTGTTTTCTCAACACTGTTCCTTCCTTCTGTGTGCTTCTCTCAAGGCTGGGGTGCTGCGCTTCCTTAGCACCCCACTCCTCAGCCTCTCTACAGATCCCCACCATCTAGGCCAGAGACACTTAGCGAGGGATGGATGGAGAAAGAGGGCCTAGCAGGATTACTCAGATGTTGCTCTAATCTGAGCCCCAGTTCTTCTAAGAACTCGTCAGGAATGTGCGGGCCTCTTAGTCCAGGGAAGGAGGACATAGAAGGCTCTTCTGGGGAATCTTCCAGATGCTGCTGGAAGCTTGACTGCTGTTTGCAGTGACTCCTCTCAAGGACTTTGGGGGAAGTGGGAGGTGGGCAAAAAGCCAGGTCTCATCAGCGGCCTCTAGCCCTGGGCTCCCCGGGCCCTTACTTTGCAGCTAGGAGTCTCTTGGAAAGCTGAGCTTGCTGCCCACTAGCTTGTACTGTCCTCTCCAAGGTAAGAAAAAATTTGGGGTGCAGCTTCTATCAATTCCCTGGGCCTGCCAAGCTGACATCAGACCCAAAGGCCATCTCCATTTCCCCTGGGCCTCTTTGGGTCAAGGCAGTCCCAGGCCAACACTCTCCCAACCCAGGGAGCAGCTTCTCAGGGGGTGGCCCCACGGGCGTACAGCACACAGCGGCAGGGGGATGTTGTATGTGTGGGTGCCCTATTTCCTCCTGTACTACCTCTCCCAGGCCTGACTCCCCCAGTGCGAGGACAAGGGCTCTGAGACGACACAGCAGGCGCACGGGGCAGCAGCATGTGGGAGGCTGTGAGGAAAGCACCCACACTAATAATCAAACCAGGAGCAGGCCAGAGAGGCTGACCAAAGTAACACTTCAACTTATCTCTCTGGAACCGGGAGCAGGCATGAGGCAGGATATTAAAGATGAGGAAGGCCAGGCATCAGTGGCTCACGCCTGTAATCTTAGCTAAGTGGGAGGCTGAGATCCAGAGGACTGCAGTTCCAAGACCCTATCTCAACAAATAGCAGTACCTAGTGGAGTACACCTCTCAATGCAGCTAAGGAAGCCTAAACTGTGCAGGTCCTGTCTAGGCACATGCCTGGGTAAGGAAGTGAGACCCTATCTCAAAAATAACCAGTGTAAAACCCAGCTGGAGGGATGGCTCAGCAGTGGAGCACCTGCTTAGCAAGAGTGAGGCCTTGAGGCCAACCCTAATAGTGGAAATGAATTTTGAAAGGATGAAAAGTCCCCAGGGATCAGTCAGTGGAGCGGATGCAGGAGCCATCCACAGTCCTCTGCCCGATGACCGCTATGACCCTGGAGGAGCAGCTCCGGTGTGTGAGGTGTGCAGGTCCCTATTGCCAGGTACGAGATGGCAGGAGGATTGCATCCAACCAGGATGGGACTATGGACGTGGGGCATCTGTCTGCACACTCCATGGTGGGCAAGTTTATTTAGAAGCTAGTTTTCGAGGCTGCCTGTGTGACCTTGACTGGACAACAGGCCCTGGGGCCAGGCAAGAGATGGGATGGAGCAGGAGGCTGCTTTCAGAAGCTGACTCTATAAAGGACTGCGAGTGTGATAGGCACTGTCTTCTTGACCAAGGGAAGGGCTCCCGAGAGCAAGGCCAGAACTGAGAGTCCTTTCTAGAAAACCGTGGCTCCCATTTGGCTTGCCAGGGCCTGGGCTGTCTCTGTGGACTGGCTGGCTGCTTGTGGCAAAGCAAGGATGACAACAGACCCACGTGGGAGATGTCAGCGCTGTGTGTTTTGAACCAAAAACGGTGGTTTGCAGGCCTATCAGAGGTGGATGCTGCAAATGCATCGATGGGCTGTCCTCAAAAGTCAGGACATCAAGGGTGACGAGGGTCAGGCCCATGCAGGAAGCTGTCCAGCCAGAGGGTTCATTCTTAGCCCTTCCAAAGCTCCCTGGTGGGTCTAATAAACACACCCAGCACTCCGCAGTGCTCTGGCCTGGAGCTCCACTCCAGTATGATTCCAGCAGGCTCGAGTCTGCACAGATGGCTGCTTGCTTTCTCCAGATCAGAGAATTTAATCTGCATGTGGTCTGGTCTTCTTCAAGCTGTCTTCTGAGAGCCAGAAGTCTGATATATAGAGACCTTTTCCTGGTACCGAGTCCTCAGTGGCCAGGGCTCTGATGAGGCTGAAAGATGATAAGGGCCCTTTCTAAGCAAGCCACAACTGATTATAGTGAACTCTCAGGGTTAGATGCCCCCAGGGATCATGGAGCAGAGAGCAGCCCAGACATGATGAATGAGACCTGCTGGGTAATGTGCACCATTTCCTGAGTGACAACACGGGGCAGAATAAGATCCAAGTTTGTTCTGATTCTGATGAATAAGAGTTTACCAGTGAATACCCCCCCCGCCCCGAGGAAAAAGCAGGATTGGGTTCCATCTGACTTGATTTATGGCTCAACTGACCTAACATAAAGTTTAGTTTGCCTTGAGCATGTCCAATCAGTGGAGAGAGGCAATTAATGGGAACCATTAGCAACTAGCCTAAGTAGTCTGCAGAAAGCCCATGGCAGCAGGCCCTGCTTGGCTCAGAGCTGTCACCAAGTGGTATGACAGTGCTGTTCCCAGGTCTCTGAAGTTATGGTAAAACCAGCGTGTGCACGTATGCTGTCTGCCTGGCCCTCGGCACTATGCCAGTGCTTATTTACAGGCTGCACCCTCTGCCCCATAGGCCTAGCTAGTCCTGTAGTGGCTGAACTCAGCTTGAGGCTCTCTGCCAGGTTAGAGACTGCTTGCATTTCTCAGGATTAGAGCCTCTGACCAGCTGTCCATAAGGATTGAGAAGCTAAGTTCTATGGACACAGGCTACCCCCAGAGGCCAGGAGTAGACACAGGCATACATCCTTGCAGGCCTATCTGAGGTACATGGGCCTGTGTGTTTTTGACTGGCTCTACTGACCCAGACTGACCGTGGCTGCTTGCTCTGAAAGCTGCCGCTGCCTCTGTGGCAGGCTGAAGAAGCTTGTCCGTTCTCTGAGGCTGCGCTAACTCAAGTGCCCAACAAGGAAGCTACAGCTGCTCTGTCAGAACCACAACAGCACCTCCTGATTCTTTCCTGTGTGGGGGCCACACTCCTGGGCACCGTGCAGCAATTTTTCTCAGGCTTCTACCCCAAACCTTCCTCCGCAGCATGAAGGATGGTTTTGTCCTGCCAGACTCCACACACACAGAGGCCCGCTTCTTCTTTTTCCTTCACACACTGAATTCTCTGAAGTTAAAATAGAATTCTGAGCCCAGCAGAGCTGATTGGTGCTCCCTACAAGTCCTTGGTGGCTGAGACTCAATCTTGCTCGATGTGCTGGGAGAATCACTCAGCTCTGTGCTCTCCAGTGCAGTACAGAGCCTTGTTAGGGGGCCCTCTCCTGTCACCTGACATCCTGAATGTAGCAGTGTTTATAGAGGCTTTTTGCTCTCGAGAGTTTACACTCTCCACCGCCACCTGTTTTTTGTTTTTGTTGGTTGTGGCGTTTGAACTCAGAACCTGGGTGCTGTCCCTGAGCTTCTTCCCCCCCAAAGCTAGTGCTCTACCACTTTGAGCCACAGCACTACTTCCAGTTTTCTGGTAGTTAATTAGAGGTAAGAGGCTCATGGACTTTCCTGCCTAGGCTGGCTTCGAATCACAATCCTCAGATCTCAGCCTCCTGAGTAGCTAGGAATAATGGTGCTGGCTCCGCCTGTTATCTTTTAGATAACGGTGACACTGAGGTCACAAGGGACTTTTCTTCTTCCTGCTCTGACTGCAGACAGTTCATGACCTACCCATGTCCAAGCACCCCTAGCCTCACCACATTCCCTGGACCAGAAGATCCTGTACCTGCATATTCGAGGAAGCCAGAGCTCCTAGGGGTCCTAAGATGCTGAACCTGAATGCTTTAATCAGGGGAGAGAAAAGAAAATCAGAAGCTGGGAGGAGAGGGTGGAAGTAATTTGGAAGGCTCCACCCCCTACTTAAAAGTCTTTGGGTATTTCATTTCTCTCAGAAAGCACACCAGGACTGGTCTTTTGCTGTGGGTACAGATGCCCCCATTTATAAAGCCCTGGTGTTGAAGGCTACAACTTCTAATTTTTTTGCTAGCACAAATTAAAGGGAGTTGAGGAAACCCTTGTCTCTCACCACCAGCTGCTTATGCTGCCTCAGGGTCTGGACAGAGGGCCCCCAGGGGAGGGGCAGGACTGAAGACCCCCTGTGCCGTGGACTTACCCCTGCCAGTTCTCGTGGAGCGGGAGGCGGAGGAGTGCTGGCGGAAGTGCTAGCGGGGACAGGAGGTTCTAGGGCAAGCTCGCCAGCTGACTCGGGGTGACCTGTGCCATGGTGGAGGGCCTCAGCCTCCCCCAGAGGCTCCTCTCCTGAATCCGACAAGTCTTTTTGCTCTGCAGAGGACTGGGAGCAAAAAAGACAATTTTCCTTCAATGTACATGGAGGCCGGGTGGCGGGGCAGGGCGGGGCGGATGGGGGATGGGTCGGGTCAGAGATGCGGAGAGCCTGTGTTCTGGGACAAGGTGGCCCTCCCAGGGCCACAGGGGAGAGGGAAGCTGGCTGCCACTGTCTGGTTATGCTAGGGGTGCTCTCTCAAGCCTGGACCCTTATTTTCAAAACTACGGGGTGGCCCAGCATGGAGCTATTCTGCTTCTCTGCCTCAAGGGACAGAAAGTCCTCTGGGGTACCAAGAAAAGGACACAATTGTGCTATGAACCCTTAAGTGACTCTCCTCAACCATGCCGACCCGGGAGCTCAAGGTCATGGGGATGTGGGCTAGGGCACCCCAAGTAGGAGAACTGGCCCTGAATTCTGCATCTGTCATTCTCTCAGCACCTGCCCTCTTGTCTTGCTCATACATCTTAGGACAAAGGGCCTCTGGCCTTGATGGGTGCAGATGTGGGGCAAACATTTTTGTTTCACTGGGTAGAGGGGCCTGGTGCAGAGTAAGAGAGGGCTGGTCTGGAAATCTGCACCACCTATCTGCACCTATCAAATAGCACCCAGAATCTTTCTAGGTGGGCTTGGGACTCAGGCTTCCCAGGGCTTGGCACTCTGGGTTCTAACTCCGAGACTCTTTTTTCCTAGAGAAGTGGGGGATACACTTGGTGCCCTGACTGAGGGCACCCAATGACGCAGAGCTGTGGCTCCCACCTAATGACCATAACCTATATGTGGTCACCTGACTCCACACACAGAGGGGTGTGTGTCTAGGGTGTGAAGCACTTGGCATTAAGACAGGACAGTCTTTGAAGTCATCCTAAAACATGCCTAGGTGACACAAGACACAGATGTGAGCTGACACCTAGTGTCAAAACCAAGTCTTAAGCCCATGGAAACAGCATTTCCAATGACCCTGTACTTTGCTGTAAGCATTTCCACGACCACTGCTGCTGCTGGGGTGCCGTGGAAGGGCTCCCATGGGGGGACTTGAGCACCCTTTCCTTCCCACTCCATCAGGACAGTGCTCCTGAAATGCAAGGCGAGCTTCACAGAGTGCTGGTGGGCTGCGAGCCCAGCCCTCAGGGGGCTGTGGTGGAAGGATAGCAAGTTCCAGGCTAGCACACGTCCCCAAGGGAGCCCCGTCCCAACAAACAAACAACAAAAGCCGTGGGCCAAGTCTTCTAACAGGAAACAACAGAGGGACCTGGCAACGTGTCCTCAGCTAAGGTTTTGTCACTGGCACCCACAGCAAATGTGATATGCCTGCAGTGTGGTTTCTGCCACTGAGCAAAACCAGAAGCTCCTACACTGGCAGCTCTACTTTCTATTCCATGTCTAGTCTTTCATCTGAGTCGTGATTCAGCAATGCTACAGGGGACACAGGCTTTGTTTTTAGTGCTGGTAATGGAACCCAAGGCCTCACACATGCTCAGAAACAACTTACCACTGAGCTGCAACCCTGTCCTTTTTTTCTTTTTAAGCCAAAGTTACACTGACTTTGCCTGAGATGGCCTACAACTCTTGTTTCCCTGCCTCCCCCTCCTGAATGCTAGAGGGGATGGACTCTTTTGACATGCTTCCCTTAGTTCTAGTTCTTTTTGCTTTATTTATTTACTGTCCCTCAGCTCTTCAGCTCAAGGCTAGTGCTCTACCACTTGAGCCACAGTGCCACTTCCAGCGTTTTCTGCTTATGTGGTGCTGAGGAATCGAACCCAGGGCCTCATGATTGAGCAAGGCAAGCACTCTATCACTGAGCCACCTTCCCAGCCCCTTTTTGCTTTATTTTTGAGAATAGGGTCTCCCTTTTTATTTCTGGACTGCCACCTTCCTGTTCATACTTTTCACATAGCTGGGATGACAGATGTATGCCATTGCACTAGGTTTCAAATTTTCATTGGTGAAAAGTATGATGGCTTCTTCTTCCAGGTCTGCCTTCTCCTGCCCTCTGCAGTATGAAGCAGAGAAAATAACACAGGCACCTGCCACACGGTGTACACCTGCCTCACCCAATAGCAGAGAGATGAAGAAAGACTGTGTCCATTTGGCCTTGCAGGCCCACTGAGTGCTCCCCAGCTCTGCCCTTTGGTGCCCTTCAGTGACCCCGCCACAGAAGAGTCATGGCAGAGGGGCACTTAACTACCAAGAGTTGAAGGGCAGTTATTTTTAGAAGCCCATTTGGAATTGGCTCTGAGTCAACATTTTAATAACAACATCTGCCCATCTCTAAATGACTCAGTAGCCTTTGTAGCTAGTCTTCTGGTTCAGCTTTAAGGCCAACCCTTTAAGGTAATTCCAAGGCCTTCCATGCAAGTCAGACTTCAAGTTGGAAAGCAGCCAAAACCCCTAGCTATGAAAACTAAACTGAGACAGAACTAGTGATTTCTTAATTTATTCCTTAGGTGCTGGGGATAGAACCCAGCGCTTTACAAAACCTATGCAAGTGCTCACCACTGAACTACATCCCAGTCCTGGATCAAGAGACTTGAATCATTCATTCCCATTATCTTTTTTAAATCAGAGGTTGACAAACTTTCTGTAAAGGTTCAGAAGGCCACTAAATATTTTTGTTTTGTTTTGTTTTTCCTCCTTCAGTCATGGGGCTTGAACTCAGGGCCTAAGTGCTATCCCTCAACTTTTTCTGTTCAAGGCTAGCGCTCTCCCACTTTGAGTCACAGCTCTACTTGCTGGTTTTCTGGTGGTTAATTGGAGATAAGAATCTCATGGACTTTCCTGCCTGGGCTGGCCTTGAACTGTGATCCTCAGATCTCAGCCTCCTGAGTACCTAGGATTATAGGTGTGAGCCACCAGTGCCTGGTGTGTTTTGCTTTTTTGTGTGTGGGGAAATATTGTGCATGCACACCCTGCCCGGGCAGGTGACCCTCATACAAGTGCCTCCCACTGTCTAGTCTGTCACACTGTAATCTCACGGCCACACAGAGCTGAGAGGAAAACAGGTCATGGCGGTAGGCTTAGTTTGCTGACTGCTGACTAAAGGTGGTCCAAATGATGACACTAAAAATTCCAAATTCTAGGAAAGTCCTGTTTTTATCAAACAGGACTTTTGAGAAATAATCTGAACATCCAAAACAGATATTTGTATTTCGACCACATCCAACTCCTAAGACTTTAATAATATTGTTTCCAAAACTTCAAGCCCCTTCATATGACTGACCATCCAAAGGACAAACATGTAAGAACAAATTACATCGCACTGCTCAGGCAGCAGAGGAGGACAGTGCAGTGACCTGGAAAACATTACATGGCAAACCAAAATACACTGGACTAAGTTTTATAGGCACTTTGGTCTTTCTTCACTGAAAGAATCAGCAAAAGGCAGTTTAATTGAAGTGACTATGTGAAGTTACAAGCTTAGCAGATGTAAGCCCAGGCAAATGGGTATCTGGGGTGGGGTGGGGCAGCCACTTCCAACCCTACATAGGCTCTCTGGCTTTGTCTTTTTCTTTTCCCACTCCCTCTGTCATCCCCAAGCCTCTCCCTTCTTCCTGGCAGACATCTAAGGACTGGCCAGAAAAACTGGGTCACACTAGAAGAAGTTTGGCTCTTCTCACAACAAGGGAGGGAGGACACAGGAACACCAGCTGGACTTCCACGAGCCTGTCACAAGATCAGCAGCAGCTCTACACCTGGGACCCACAGAGCATCTTGTGCAGGAGGCTGCCAAATGCTACCTAGCACCCTCAACAAGACACAGACACACTTCAAAACACACCAACCCGTCACTGTGAAGCACGGCAACTACCACCAGGCCAGGGGACACTGGTGGCAACTACTGGAACATGAGGCCCTGGGCCTCACAAGTCGGTACACAGCACCCACTAGTGGGCCTGGCTTTCCACTGTCCATGTCTGGGAAGGTAGAAACCATGTGGCTGTATGAGCACCAAGAAAGACACTTCCACAGCAGCTCATGCTAGACCCAGAGTGGAGTGGGGGGTGGGGGTGGGGGGAGGGCATGACAACCCACAAAGATAGATGCTACAGAGACAAAACAAGCCAACTAGCAAAGATTGTAAGTGTGTCCATGCAAGCTGCTTGGGATACAAGCCACCTAAAACCTTTGTACTCCGCACGGTCCTAGGGTTGGAGCTCACTTGTCAAACACGTGCTCTACTACTGAGCTGCACCCAGCCACCTCCTCAAATCCTAATAGGTCCTGGTCTCTCTCTCTTTAATCATCTTGCTGGTTCTTCTCTGAACTTCCTGTTTTCCTTCTATCTAGCTCTCTGCCACTGGCTTGGTTACTGTACACAGCAATTTTTTCTTTTTCTTTGTTGCGCCAGTCCGCGCCAGTCCTGGAGCTTAAATTCAGCCTGGGCACTGTCCCTGAGCTTCTTCTGCTCGAGGGCAGGACTCCACCACTTGAGCCACAGCGCCACTTCTGGCTTTTTCTGTTTATGTGGTACTGAGGAATCGAACCTAGGGCTTCATGCATACTAGGCAAGCACTCTACCACTAAGCCACATGTTCCAGTCCTGTACACAGCATTTCTAAGAGTAGGTATCAGGAATTAGGAAGGGGCTGAGCACTGATTTACAAAACTTGTTCTCTAAGACCTTTCCCCAGAACCCGAAGCCACTGGGCCTTACCCTCCCAGCTCAAGGCAAAGGCCCAAAGGCCCCCACTGACAGCCAGCCCTGTGTGGATCAGCAACCTGGACAACGGGTTCTCTGGGAGACAGCAAGTTCAAGAGACGCAGGAGTGGTGGGAGTGGAGAGAGACATACCCGCCCCTTACCTTTTGTCCTTTATCCTTCTGAAACACAAAGACAGGTGGAGCAATGGCAGGCTTTTCTGCAAAAAGAAAAATTGTTTTTTTTCCCCCAACATTATATTTATGTAGTAAACAAAACTATGTCCATTTGCAACAGATTACAGAACTATGTGCATATATAAATAGAACTAGCAACTGCACAGACCGTGAAGTGATTTAGAACAACTTCTTCCCAGGGACACTTGATGCATGAATGTGCCCAGCTGGGGGACACTCAGCCCTCAATGTTGTGGGGTCTGTCTCCCTTCTCCAACAAGTCACACTATCAGAAAATATCTGGTATTCTCTGGGGACAGGTGTGCAGGAGAGCAGGTGTGGGCAGCTGCTCAGTGCTGGCTAGACACCAGATCTGTAAGTGCCAGCTCCTGAACTCCAAGGGTGGTGCACTAATTTCATTCTTATTTTATTGCTTTAATTTGCAGCCTTTGGGCACATGGCTCATGTTCTCTGGAGAGGTCACTGGAGGAACAATGCCAACATTTGCCTGGCTTCCCTGTGAACACTCAAGGAAGAGGACAAGCTGGTAGAGCTGCTCAAAGCCTGGCACCTCCTGGACAGCTAGCTGCTGGTGGTGAGGAAGCACTCTGTATGTTCTGCCACCTGACAGGCAAGGCCAGCATAGCCTGTGGGTTCCACACAACCGTTCATCCCCTACCCAGGTCCACAATCCCTTTCTTAGAGGTCCTGGCACCAGTGGGGGACATGCCATTATGCCTCTCCCCACCAGCTGCAGGCTGGAGTCCTCTCCACCATGCAAGATACCAAAAGCACTGCAGCCTGTTGGGCACGTGCCACATGCTGTGCCCTGGGTCTGAGGCTGCAGCTACAGTGCAAGGATGTCAGCCACAGGCTGGGAGGGGACAGGGCGGGGCCACACTCAAGAGCTGCAAAGAAAGGATGGCAGTCACTGTTCAGGTGGAAAGAGAAGCCAGGGGAGGGAGAATAAGAATGGCTGCAGGAAGACCAGGTGAAGGGGAGACTGTCAGTCCTGAAAAGAAAGATAGCTGGCTCCAGGAGCAGGTCTGAAGGAACGGGCAGCACCAAGGCAACCAAATGGATGGTACCCTGCTCCCCAAAATCCACTGCTGGAGAAGCAGGACACTGGTCATGACAGGCAAGAATCTGCCAGTGGTAACATTCCTGCCATCACAGTGAGAATGGTCTCACCACACCTGAATCTGAGTGAGCATGGTCTACCATGCACAGCCCCCACTCAGCGAACAACATGCATAAGACTCAGGGACACTCAAGAAGAAGGGGTCTCCAAGCAGCTTCCACGCTGCCCTAACTACTGCCTTCTTAGACAAACACAAATAAAAGAGAAGGAATGCGTCTCTGCTAGACAGGAAAGGACACCAGGGAAATGCCAAGACTCGGCACCAAGCAGCAGCTTACCCAGTGTCCTGAACACCTTCTGCTACTACTTCTGTATCTCTTAGGCCACAGTGCCACTCCTGCATTTGACTCCTCAACTCTGTGATGCCAGGACAGAGCCAGGGTTCCAGCCAGTTCGGTGACCCCTCAACCTCCATCTTTTTTATGGAGCCACCCCACCTCTGGTTCCAGGCCAGGCAAGGACAGTACTACAGCAGACCTGTCCTGGGGATACCAGCACATGAACACAGCCAGACCTTGCAGTGGAGCTATAGGGAAGAGGTGGCTCTCTCTGTGCTGGGCTGCCACAGCCAGCCATGAATCAAAGGGGGTGCCCAGACCAGGGCCACTCCAGAAGGAAGCAGAGACAACCTGGCCCAGAGAAAGATACCTAAACCATGGCCAAATCCAGAGATGCCAGTTGTTGCTAACCCAACTGTCCCCTGGTCACCAGCAGACTGAAGACTGAAGGATGTAGTCTAAAAGGCTGGTGTCTATGCTCCATGCCCTGTGGAGGAAACCTCAGGCTAGCCTGTGAAGCAAAATGACTTCCTGTTCTTTACATCCTGCCTTTCCTGAGATGAACTTCACAGTTCAGCTTAGATCCCTAGCTGCCTGAGGCATGCTGTGAGGGGAGGGGAGGAGTGGAGAGCACAGGGAAACCGAACTCCAGGTGTGGACACACTGCCAGGCCAGCCAGGAACAGAGGCGTTCCTTGGAATGAGGAAGCGCCGGCTGACCTGGTGTGCACATGATGTGTGGGTTGCCACATGGCTGCAGCTATGAGACCTGGATGTCAGGACACAAAGGTCCTGCTGAGGGGGTGGAAAGGGGACATGGACAGGGATGGGATGGACATCTGACAGAGGGGCAACTGCACGGTACGTGACACATAGCTCAGTGGCAGACTAAAGGAAGCCCTGAAAGCAGCCAGGCAGGTGAACATCCAATTTGGTCCTCTATAATTCCCCAGCCAGGCCTGGTCCTGGTCCCTACCCCAGAACTGCTCAGATTTTTCCTGCCCTGCTCTGCTCTACTTGGGCATACCCCACAAGGGAGGCTGGGAGACCAGACAGCCTCCAAAGAGCTTTGTGTTCCAGCATAATCGACTGCTCCACACAGCAGCTATACAGCCAAATAAATACATACCAATCCCCAACTGTGCAAGGCACCACAGGAAAAAATGGAGAGCAGGAAGCTGAGGGGGGCAGGGAGCTGAGGGTAGTTACAAGGGATGGGGTGTCTACTCTTGGTGCTGGGCCCAAGATAGTTAATCTGCTGGCAGACAGCACCCACCCCTGGTAAGAACACTACGGCAGAGTAGCTGGCCTTACCTGGCTTGCTTCCTCCCTCTGTACCTGCAGCACCCAACAGTTCCACATGTAGCTGCGCTGGACCAGCAGTTATGAGCAAGTGGATGTCACTCACCCTTGGGCGATAGGCCCCAGCCCAAGGGTCCTTGGCTGAAGGCAGGTTTGGTATTTGTGACTAATTCAACACTGTACTAAGCTGCACAGCCTTGGCTCTGTGGAAAACGCAAGGCTATGGCAAAAGCCTGCCCCCAGCAAACTGTCCTGACTATCCAGGACCACTGTGCAGCCCTGTCCCACACTACCGGGAGGAAATGGCACTGGGCTCGGGCAGCTGTTCTACACCCTGCCTAACTGTCTTCTCAGCGATGGCAAGGAGCCAATCACCACCAGAGCACCAGGGAATGTGAGGGCCCCAGGCCACCAGGGAGACACCACGCAGGGAGATACTAACCAGTACAGACCACCTTACCAGGCTGCCCACCAACTGCCTTTCTTGTTGTTTCTTTTGGTTTTGGGCCACACTCTCCATTCAAATTACTTTGTGAAAATGTAGCCAGCCAGGAGAATGGCTCACCACAGCATATCCAATGTCAGAAGACTGATAGACCAGGCAGTAGTGGCCTATACTTGTAATCCTGGATACTCAGGCTGAGATTCACAGGATGATGGTTTGAAGCCAGCCCAGGCAGAAGAGTCTATCAGGCATCATCTCAAAAAACAACCAGTGAAGTCTTTAGCTCCCATTTATTATGTGGGAAGCAGGATATGTTTCTCTTTTTTAATTTCTTTCTGCCCCAACTCCCTGCCCCCCGACCCTGCCTTTTTTAAAAGTCAGTCATGGGGCTTGAACTCTGGGCCTAGGCGCTGTCTCTGAGCTCTTCAGCTCAAGGCAAGCGTTCTATCACTTGAGTCACAGTGCCACATCTGGATTTCTGGTGGTTCACTGGAGATAAGAATCTCACACTTCCCTGCCCACGCTGCTTTGAACCATGATCCTTAGATTTCAGCTTCCTGAGTAGCTAGCCACCAGCACCTGGCTATTTCTTCCTACTTTTAATTCTATTATACTAAAATAAATCCTTGTTAAAGCTTTAAAGGAGGTATGGCCAACCAAGCCAGTCAAGCAAGCCATGGAAGTGAACGTGAGGCCCTGAGTTCAAGCCATGGTCCTGCCAAAGAGACAAAGGAAAAAGAGTGACTGAACAGAGACCCTGTTACTGCTTAGGGAGCTCCAGCTCCAGCAACTAGCACACCAGGCGGCAGGCCATCAAGAGGCTGGCGCTGGTCTGTAATGTGGGCTGGGCCTCCGTCTCGCCTTACATCCTCCCTGAGCTCTGGCTACCCAGGTTCTACAGTCCGGGACGTGCAAGGGGCAGGTACTTCTGTCCATCTTGCACGTCCTCTCTGACCTCACCGATGCCGTCACATACCACTGGATTCAACGCCTGACCCCATCCTCTGAGGAGAGGATGGCATGGAACTGGCCTGCGTCTCAAGGGGCCCTGTTGAAGCCTGTCCCCAACTCTCCAGACACTGCCATATTATTAGAGTCCTGCTTTCAGACTCCACGAGCCTATGCAGGCCTCCAACTTGTGTCCCCCAGCTCCACGTCTCATTCTAGTGGCCAACCCTCCCCAAGTGCCTCTAGCATCAGATTTTGCTCGCATCACTTCACTGAGTCCTGTCACTGCCGAGAGGTGGCACACAGAAGGGAAGGGGACATCCTCAGAGAGGGTCAATGACCTGCCCCAGATGGGGCTGGGCCTCAAAGCTGGGGGGGAGGGGGTCAGCTCTGAAGCCCCTACGCCTAGGCTTCACTGACACAAAAAGGAGGGCTGCCCTCCTCCCTGTCTTCTTCCTCCCCTCTCTCCTGCTGGCAGGCCTCAGCTGTGGTGTTGACATGCTTCGCGTTGGAGAAGTGACCCCAGGAATGAAGCAGCTGTCAGTTAACACTACAGACACATCTGTGGAAGAGCGGAGTAAGCTGAGGCTGGCGATGAGTTGTGGGTTGGAGAGAGGCTGCTTCTACCTGCCCGTGACTGGCAGCCTCCTGAGACCTGGTATGCAAGTACTCCTACAGCAGATTCGCACACAGGGAAATCCTTGACGGCCATCAAGAAAAGAATGAGACACACGCTGCAAGTGCACACTCCCCAAGCTAGTAGTGACGAGCCATGTGCATTCTGGCCTGGCATTCAGAATGGGTGCTGGCAACAACCTCTCTCTCTCTCCTATGCCTCCTCCACAACCCACTTCCTCTCTACTCTGATTTGCAGGGGCCCCAGGCATGCCTGTTCTCCAATGAGCTTCCTTCTCACTCTCAATCTCTGCCA